GAACTGATTTGGTTTCTGGAGAAGTCTATATTTCAAGTGTGAATTTAGGTCTGTGCTAGCATTTTTAAATATAAGCAAATACAGTGAGGTCAGGGCTATTCAAGGAAATTTCTAACAAAATGATTTAAGAGTGTGGGAAAAGCAGTAAAGGTTCTGAGAATCATTTGGTGAAGAAAAGGAACCTCTACTTATCTGTGTGTAGAAGCACATAAGCATTTTACATGAAGGACCCCAATATTAACTTTACTCATTCGGTGCATTATTTGTGTAAGAGATTATAGTAAAGGATCTACTAATATTTCATTTGTATGTATTCAGATACACGGGTACATAAACATACAATAAATATTACTTTAAAGATTTTGGCTATTGCTTTAAGTATCATTAACTTATCAGCATTAAATTCATCATTTGAATTAACTGTAATAATTTTTCTAAATAAACAGAAAATCACATCCTATTTTATTTTTGTTTTTTAAATCTTTTATTTATTTATTTTTTATTTATTTATGATAGTCACAGAGAGAGAGAGAGAGAGAGAGAGAGAGAGAGAGGCAGAGACATAGGCAGAGGGAGAAGCAGGCTCCATGCACCGGGAGCCCGACGTGGGATTTGATCCCGGGTCTCCAGGATCGCACCCCGGGCCAAAGGCAGGCGCTAAACCGCTGCGCCACCCAGGGATCCCCACATCCTATTTTATATAGATATATATACCTGTATCTCCACTGTTACTATATCCAATACAATTAATCATCCACGCTAATTATTATCTTTAGAGTAACCAATCTTTTCTTTTTTTCTGCAGACACAAGAGAAACTCAAAGGGAAATAAGTTTAAAAACCGTCCAGCAACTTTTTATGCATGTTTATCTCACATTATGTAAACATTTTAAGAAGGCCAAAACAAATATACATGCATTATCATCCAAAGGCATTTTCATGTTTTGTTACTCTGCTGGCATTTTTAAAATAAGGACAAATTAAAATTAACTTTAGTAAACAGTGTTTTGTATCCACACCTTAAAAATCACCTTAGTTCAGTCTGCCTGGAATCAGGAGATCTCATCTGGCCCCTGATGAGTGATCCTTGGTCTTTGACCAAGTCCCAGAGACACATGTCACATAGATGGTCACACTACAGGTCTCAATGGCACCCATCCCGGCCAAACACCTGCTTCCTTCGCTCTTGCTCCTATAATGTTAACACCTGTATATATCTTTCTAACTGGCAGAGTTCACCAGCGACAATTTGAAATTATACGGGCCACTTTGGGGGGACTTTGAGGTGGGCAAATCGTTCGTTTGAGGGGCAACTTAAAATGAAACAAAAGACTCCAAGTATCCAAAAGCTGGCTTTCTTTCATTGGCTTTAGGAGGCACAGTTCAGACTCAGAAATTGCCTGAAATTTCTTTAGCATAAGTAATTACAAAACGTGAGAAACTGTCTCTCTAATCATCCACTTTACATGTGAGTCAGAACTTTCCCTGAATGATTTTCTAGTGCCCTTTCTGCTTTTATTGTAGATGGTTTAATGCCAAAGCAAACAGAAAGTGACGGCTTATCACTCCATTGCATGAAGTTCAGCATTTGATGAAGCATTTCCAAGAGAGTTTGAGGCCCAAAAACAAAAGAACTGTCACCAGGAATTGTTCATCCTGTTTGTCTGAAGATACCGTTTTGTATAACTACAGAAGCATCTTCTTCGCTTGCCTACTTCGGGGATTATTAAGTGCTCGCTTTTTAATCTTAGGGCTTTTTTAAAAGATTTTATTTATTTATTCATAGAGACAGAGAGAGAGAGGCAGAGACACAGGCAGAGGGAGAGGGAGAAGCAGGCATCATACAGAGAGCCTGACATGGGACTCTATCCAGGGTCTCCAGGATCACGCCCCGGGCTGCAGGCGGCGCTAAACCGCTGCGCCACTGGAGCTGCCCAATCTTAGGGCTTTTGTATGTGCGTGTCCCAGGCTGGGTGAGGGCGTCAGAGCTAGGTGGGAATATTGCTCTCCAGTGCCTGCTTAGGCTCCCAACCTGAAACCTTGAGAAAAGTAATGGTGGACTGTCACACCTGCCCAATCTGACTCTTCTGGATCATACCTCCCTTGAAGGGGGGGGGAGTGGTAGAAGCTCTACAAGGGGGATATTTGTTCTCACTAACAGAGAGGATTGTCTCAGACTGGAAGAGAAGGATGGGGGACAGATGAAGTGAGGAGGGAGGGAGTTTGACCTGGAGTCTGAGGTTCAGGGAGCCCCCAAATCCATACTGATAAAGGCTGGATTCACATTTCCCATTCAGGGTCCTTTGGGAGTAATTGCCTGGGACCTTCAGCACCATTTTCACCTGTGGCTGTGGCTACTAACAGTAAACCCTGCCAGGGACACACGAGCTTTGTTAGCTTTGGTGCCTGGTACTGGGAAATTTGTTTCCTCATCTACAAAATGAGGATAATGAGATAACTGTACCTACCTCCCAGCATCACTGTGAGGATGAGGTGTGATGGAGCAATTGGAGGGGCCTGGCACACAGAGTTTGCTGGGAAGATGATAATGGTGATGGTGATGACGGTGATGATAATACCTTCCATCAGCCTCTCACTGGGAGGAAAGTCTTGTCAACTGCGTTCTACGGCTTTCAGTTCCAGGTGCTGAGGTAGAAACACAAGGCTGTCGACAATTGTCACCACAGAAGACAGCTGGGGAGCAGGGGGCACAGGTGAGACCAATACTCTGGGCAACAGCAGAGTTGTGATCTGGCCCTTGGGTCAAAGAGGGCTCCTGCTATGCAAACATTGGCATAAAAATGAAGTGTTATCAGAATGGGAATGGTATCTCAAGTAGTTGCGCACAGCAAAAGAAACAATCAACAAAATAAAAAGGCAACCTATGGAATGGAGAAAGTATTTGCAAATCATATAACTGATAAGAAGACAATATCCAAAATACATAGGAAACTCATACAATTCAATGGGGTGGGACTTAATAATCTGATTTTTAAATGGGCAGAGGACCTGAATAGACCTTTTCTAGGGGCATCTGGGTGGCTCAGTTGGGTAGACATCTGCCTTTGGCTCAGGTCATGATTCTGGGGTCCTGGGGTCGAGACCTACCTTGAGCTGAGCTGGGAGCCTGCTTCTCCCTCTGCCTCTGCTTGTGCTCTCTCTCTCTCTCTCTCTCTTTCTCTGTCTCAAATAAGTAAATAGGTAAAATCTTTTTTTTAAAAGAGACATCTTTCCAAAGAAGATATACAGATGGACAGCAGGTAAATGAAAAGATCACTCATCATCAGGAAAATGCAACTCAAAACCACAATGAGCTATCACTTCATACCTGTCAGAATGGCTCATATCAAGAAGACAAGAAATAACAAGTGTTGGTGAGGATGTGGGGAGAAGGGAATCCTAGTGCACTATTGGAGGAGATTTAAATTGGTGCAGATACTGTGGATAGTATGGAGGTTCCTCAAAAAGTTAAATGTAGAGCTACTATATGATCCAGCAATCCCACTTCTGGTTATATATCTGAAGGAAATGAAATCGCTATCTCAAAGAAAAGTCTACACTCCCATGTTTACTGCAGCATTATTCACAATAGCCAAGATATGGAAGCAACCTGTGTCTGTGGATGGATGAAGACATAAAGAAAATGTGGTGTATTTATATAATGGACTATTACTTAGTCATAAAAAAGAAGGAAATTTTGCCATTTGCAACAACATGGATGGACCCCAACCATTACACAAAATGAAATGTCAGACAAATACCATCTGATCTCATTCATGTGGAATCTGAAAACGCCACACTTGCAAGAATAGAGAACATACTGGAGGCTGCCAGGGGCTAGAAGGTGGGGGAAATGAGATATTGGTTAAAGGATACAAACTTAGCTCTATGATGAATAAATTCTAGGGGTGAGTGCACAGCATGGAGACTACAGTTAGCAAGAGAGCATTGTGCACTTGAAAATGGTTGGAGCTCCTGGGTGAGCTCAGTCAGCTGAGCATCTGACTCTTGACCTCAGCTCAGGTCTTGATCTCAGGGTCGTGAGTTAAAGCCCCATGTTGGGTTCCATGCTGGGCATGGAACCTACTTGAATAAATAAATAGTTTTTAAAAACTGCTAAAAGAGTGGATCTTAAATGTCACCAGGGGGCATCTAGGTGCCTCAGTTGGTTGTGTCTGAGTCTTGATTTTGTCTCAGGTCATGATCTCAGGGTCATGGGATCAAGCCCTGCATCGGGCTCCATGCTCAGCATAGACCCTGCTTCTCCTTGTCCCTCTGCTCCTCATCCCCCACCCCACCCCCTGCCAAAATGTTCTCAGCATACACACACAAAAAATGGTAATACATGAGATGACGGAGGTGTTCATTTACCTTATTGTGGCAGCCATTTCACAATAAATACCTGTATCGAACCATCACGTTGTACACTTTAAAAGTCCACAATGTTTTACACCAATTACGTGGTGAAGCTGAGGGAAGAATCCCAAGTAGGCCTCCTGAGTGCATTAGTTCTTTCCACGGTATCAGCACTGTGATTCTAGATGCATCCTTTTATTTCTTCTTCATATAGCCCTAAGTTAAGGAAACCTAGCAACATCGGAGAGCAGCCCATCAACCAAGGCCATGCATCAGTAGTACCACTGGCTGTTACTGCAGATTCCTGGACTCGCCCAGACCTGCTGCATTTGCATCTTAGGTGCACTCGGTACAGGGCACTCGCACTTATTTCTTTCCAGCCCCAGAAGCACTGCCAATGGTGCAGCCAGGGTGGAGAGCCTCAGACTGCAGCAAGCGTCCTGGGCTGGGCCAGGCACTGCCCAAGTCCTCCAGGTCTGGAATCTGGAAAGGAGCCTTTGGGGGTGAGGTGGGAGGGGAAATAGTGAGAAATAGGTGGAGGGGGAGGAGGGAAGAAGGGGGAAGGGGGAAGCAGAGAGCAGAAGAGGGCCTTAACTGAGGCAGAGACCAACACACTGGTGGCTTGTCCTTCATTTCCTTCCAAATTTCTTGGACTTGGGGGCTGGGGGGGGAGGGTGGGGTGGGAAGAACATGTTCAGACACCATCACCTCCTTCCTCACATCCTCACTAAACATGCAGAACATGCCTGGACAGCCTAGAAGGAGGACTTGAGCCTGTGTGCAAAGGCTTCCACCCACGAAACTGAGTTCCCTTTAACACCCTGGTCTTCATGAAGAACTAGAGTCTGAAGTACTTATAAACCAGACCCTTGAGGCACCTGAGTGGCTCAGTGGTTGAGTGTCTGCCTTTGGCTCAGGTCATGATCCCGGGGTCCTGAGATCGAGTTCCGCATCAGGTTCCCCGCAGGAAGCCTGCTTCTCCCTCTGCCTGTGTCTCTGCCTCTGTGTGTCTCTTACGAATAAATAAATAAAACCTTTTAAAAAAATAACAGACCAGACCCTTTATTGCTATACTTTTGTGAAATTGGGAACTTGATAGCAGATGGAGCCAAGGGCCCCAAAGGTATTTTGTCGGAGTTACACAAATGTCTACAGACAGCCAAGGTAGAAAGAACTCACAAGAAGGAAAAGAAACTGGTCAAGCATTCAGTGAGAAGAGGTAGGAAGAAGACGGGCAATCTGGAGGCGGCTTCTCACTGTGGCCCGGGTTCGAATGCTGGCTTTTCCCTTTACCCTCCGGGGACTCTGGAGCAAGTTACTGAATCTCTGTGCACCAGAATTGCCTCCTCAGATTACAGTAGCCCATACATGCCCCATAGGGTTTCAAATTTTTCTCAGGAATCTCACTAATGGGCTGGGCACTCTTGTGAAATTCAGTAGTGACCAAAATAGACAAAGTTCAGACTTTCATTTAGTGGGAGTTGATCTACTAAGACGAGAGAACCACTTGGAAGCGATGCCTTGCACACAGTACATGGCCAACAAATGTGCAGCACCTTCCGTCCACGCGGGACTCCACTGCCCTCCTGCTGGGGGGTCTCCAGCAGCTGTCAGTAGATTTGGGTGCATGGGTTCTCATCCAAGGTCCCATGAGGCTCCATTGTTCTCTGAGATTTGATCCCGCATTTGGCTCTGGGCCTTATATCTAATACCTCTGAGAACAACATCGCCTCGGCCCAGACAGAGGGCTCCGCTTCTCAAACCAGCAGAGGTTGGAAATGGTCTTTCTCCTGCTTTTTGCCTTTAGTCCAGGACACTAGCACCACATGGCGGCCCCCTGTCCTCTGCCCCATGCAATAGCCCCTTCCCTGCCTCTGCTTCCAGATGCCTCGAGAAGTGATAACTTCCTGGCAGCCAATTCAAGTGTGACAACGTTGTTTAGGAAAGAGCACTGTTTTCCTCTTTCAAGAAGTGGCACGTCTGCATTTACTAATAATCCCAGTCAATAGCCATTGAGCACCTATTGCACGTCTACTATATATACTTTCTCACCGAATTCTTGAAACATCTCTTTGAATTACATATTTCTTCTCCCATTTAATAGATGAGGAAGCTAAGGCCCATAGAAAGTAAGTAACCTGCCCAAAGACACACAGTAAATCAGAGAGGAGCATTTGGACGGCCTCTCCCCGGGACACCACACTGCCTACAAGAGGCCGCAGAGTGAAACCACCGGACCGGAGGACCCAGCAACAATCCGGGACTATTTCCAAACCCTGTGCAAGCTGACACTAGACAAACTTGGCAAGTAAGCCAAGAGGTCCTCACATGCCAAGCACAGTGGATGTTTCTTAGATGGCTTTGTGTCCTTTGTATTCATTATCAGCAAGAAACTCAACTGCACAGGCCAGAATACTTCATTCTAATGTAGATCTTTTAATTTTTTTTAAAGATTTTATTTATTCATGAGAGAGAGAGGCAGAGACACAGGCAGAGGGAGAAGCAGGGTCTATGCAGGAGCCCAAGGTGGGACTGGATCCCACCTCTCCAGGATCACGCCCTGGGCCAAAGGCAGGCGCCAAACCGCTGACCCACCCAGGGATCCCAATGTAGATCTTATAATCACTTCATGTCAACACAGCAACAGATATGGCCAGAGAGAGACCATAAGCCAGAAAGAATGTGCTGGAAAGCTTCAGAACAGTTCACTGGGGATCAAAACCTCATTGAGCTACAAGAGGCCTCTTGTATTAAAACCTCTGGGCTTGGGCCCCTGAGTAGCTCAGTGGTAGAGCGTCTGCCTTTGGCTCACATCGTGATCCTGGGGTCCTGGTTTCCAGTCCTGCATCATACTCCCTGCAAGGAGCCTGCTTCTCCCTCTACCTGTGTCTCTGTCTCTGTCTCTCTCTCTGTGTCTCTCATGAATAAATAAAATCTTAAAAAAAAGAAAACCACACACACAACAAAAACCTCTGGGTTTTTGGGTAACAGGAGAAGATTAGTGGAGTTCTAAATACAAAGAAAGTATGCAGAGAAAGGGTGGGGCCAGGTGAGGGTGGCAATGAGCTGGATCAGGCCGGAGCCGGGCAGGTTACAGGCTGGGCCCCAGGACACTGGGGATGGCCTTGTGTGGCTCACGAGGTCTGGCCTAGAGCAGGGGAGAAGCCGGGATCCCCGGGCACCGCGGTGGTGCTGGGGGTGTGGTCCAGGAGGTGCCGACCCTGTGGAGCATCGGGGCTTGGGGACTGCCCCAGAGTGGGGGCCGAGAGGGCTGGGTCTCACCGGGCAACGTGGGATTCCAGGCCGACCCCAGCCCGGCTGAGGAGAGCCCGTTAAACCGGAAGCCGAGGTCACGCGCTCTTGCCAACGTGCGTGGGGGGGAAGGAAGGGGGGAAGGAAGGAAGGAAGGCTTCGCAGCACAGAGGGGTCAGGCCACACCTCCGATCCAGCCTGGGAGACCAGCCCCCCCCCCCCCAGCTGCTGGCTCGGGAAGCTTCTCACGCTGGGCCTGCGTCTCGCGCTGGGCCCCCGGAAGTTGAGGCGAGGCCCTTGGTGCACTAGCGGGGGTGGCTGAGCCCAGTCGTCCGCTGGTCCGGGGAGCTCAGCCCGTTCACCGCAGAAGGTGCAGTAACCCCTTTACTCGGGAGGGGGTGCAGCCCGGAGAAGGACGGGAGAGGGGCCTGGAGGCATCGTCTGGTTTCGGGTAAGCGACGCGGGAAGGCTGGGGGACCCCGCACATCGCATGTGCAGCAGGCCCCACGGCCACCAGGAGGTTGCAAGTTGAAGCCTCCGCGTCCTCTGTAAGGCCAAGTCGTCCCGGGCCTGGGCCGCACGGCTCGGGCGGCGCCCCCTGCTGGCCGAACGCGCAGCTTCCGCGCGGAGAAAGGCCCGATTCGGCCCCGCGGCCCCCGAACCTCCGGCCGCGGCCGCTTGCTTGTCCGCGCCCCCCGCCGCCCCCGCACACCCGCTGCCCCCGCGCCCCCGGCCGCCCCCGCACACCCGCCGCCCCCGCGCCCCCCGCCGCCCCCGCACACCCGCCGCCCCCGCGCCCCCCGCCGCCCCCGCACACCCGCCGCCCCCGCACACCCGCCGCCCCCGCGCCCCCGCCGCCCCGCGCCCCCGCCGCCCCGCACACCCGCCGCCCCGCGCCCCCGCCGCCCCCGCACACCCGCAGCCCCCGCCGCCCCCGCGCCCCCCGCCGCCCCCGCACACCGCCGCCCCCGCGCCCCCGCCGCCCCGCACACCCGCCGCCCCGCGCCCCCCGCCGCCCGCACACCCGCCGCCCCGCGCCCCCGCCGCCCCCGCCCCCCGCCGCCCCCGCCCCCCGCCGCCCCGCACACCCGCCGCCCCCGCGCCCCCCGCCGCCCCCGCACCCCCGCCGCCCTGGCATAACTGGCGCGACCCGAGCCCGCGGCACCGCTGGTTCACTCCCTGCCGACCCCACGAGCCGCGGGCAGGAGAACCGCTTGTTTCTCCTCACTCACTTGTTTTTTTTCCTATTGCGGCGAAAGTCACATGAGTAAGACGTTCATAACGTGAAACTTTTTGAAGTGAGCGACTCAGTGGCAGCGAGTGAGCGCATTTACAGCGCTGTGCGACCGCCACCTCTAAGTAGTTCCAAAACATTTTCATTGCCCCAAAAGGAACCCATTAAAGGGGTTCACATCCATTAAAGGGTGAGTTGTTCCTCATTATCCCCCTTCCTGGCAACCCTGGCAACCCCCAACCTGCACTTCGTCTGTTGAAGTTGCACATTCTGGCTACTTCCTGCAGGTGGAGGCTGTGTGACCCGCTAGTCCGGCTTCTGCGCTTACATAGCGCGTTTGCGGATCCTGGATCCTGCGCGGTGTGACCTGTGTCCGGGCTCCTCGCGGCGGAGTAATGTGCCCTGGTATGGATGTACCGCGTTTTGTTTCTCCATCTGTTGACCGGCGTTTGGGCTATTTTCGCTTTCGGTTATTGTAAACGGTGCTGCTATGAACACCCACACTCATCTATTTATTTGAATAACAATTCTCACTTCTTTTCTTTTATATCATAGGACTGGAGTTGCTGGGTCAGATGGCAATCCTGTGTCTCACTTCCTGAGAAACCATCAAACCATTTCCCCATTGGTTGCACCATTTCACATTCCCCCAGCACTGTATACGGGTTTCAGTTTCTCCGTGTCCTGGCTAGCGCTTGCGATTTTTTCTGTATCTTTTTTTTTTAATATTTTTTAAAAAAATTATGAAGTTGTACCATGGCTGATTTTTCAAAGCGAATTAACTTAATATTTAAAGAAAATATTAAGAAAATAATAGCATGGCATATATGGATAGGGCAGGTAAGACTGGCAAACCCAAAGCCTGCAGTTTGGAGGCAGGAAAACAGATGTAGGCCAGTGTGTCACTTTTCTCTGGCCCACACTACCTCCCCTCCAGCAACCCAAGCCAAACCCAAACCTGACTACAGGAGGCCGGCAAACATCCTCTATCTCCTTCATAAAGGTGAGCTCAGGATGAGGCAAATCTCTTCCAGGTCAGAGGGCCTTCCTTGGGTCTCCCATCTTCTTGCTGCAGAGCCCAAACCACCTCTGGAGGCCCTACTGTGGTCCTGTGCACCAGAACGCCCAGATTTGGATCACCAGAGCCCCCAGGCCAGGTCTGTGGGCTACCTGACCTCTCCCCATGATTTTGGTTTTTAACTTCATATTAAAGTATAAAGTATGGGAGTTTTAAGCCTGCAATTTGTGTCGTTTCACAAATTCGACACTCTGGGTAGCCAGCCCCCAGATGAAACAGAACTTTATCAATAGCCCCGAACATCCCCAGAGGTTCATACTAACCCAAGAGTAAGCACTAGTTCGGCTTTTTTCTTTTAAGATTTTATTTATTTATTCGTGAGAGACACAGAGAGAGAGGCAGAGACCCAGGGAGAGGGAGAAGCTAGGCCTTCTGTAAGGGGAACCCAATGTGGGACTCGATCCCAGGACTCCAGGATCACAACCTGAGCCAAAGGCAGACACTCAACCACTGAGCCACCCAGGTGCCCCCACTAGTCTAACTTTTAATGCCACAGCCAAGCTTTGCTTGCTTTGAAGCATATGTAAACGGGCTTACAGAGCGGATACTTTTTGCGTCTGGCTTCTCCCACCAGCAGTGCCTGTGCAACGCTTCTTCACTGGAGTGTGTGACCGCCCTTTGTTCATGTCCACTGCAGTCTGGCATCCCCATTGTGTGGCTGTGCCACATGTCTTTATGTGGTCTGCAGGGGGCGGACATTGAGTGGTCTACAGCTTTGAGCTCTGTGCCCAGTGCTCCTGTGACATTCCACCTATGACCAGGGTACACAGGCCACTGTCCACCCATGTTCTGCTTTGACAGATGCGACCAGTTGTCTGTAGCTGTGCCAACTTACACTCTCACCAGATTGCATGAGAGCTCCAACTGCATGTCCTCACCAGGACTGGGCGTTATCAAGCTTTTTCCTTTGGATCATTTTGATGGGTGTGTGGTCATAGTTGTTTGAGGTCTTAGTTAATATTTCCCTGATAGCAAATACAAATGAGCTCCTCTTCATGTGTGTATGGGTCGTTTGGATTTCCTCTGTGAAATGCCTGATCAAGCCTTCTGTTTTCTGTCAGTTGTCTCTTTCTTACTGATCTGTAGTTCTTTATTCTGCTCATAAGCCCTTTATTATCCACTCTCATTCTGTGGCTTTTGAGAAATAGAATTTCTTAATCTTAATGCAATCTTTTGTTAAAAGATTTTATTTATTTATTCATGAGAGACCCAGAGAGAGAGAGGCAGAGACACAGGCAGAGGGAGAAGCAGGCTCCTTGTGAGGAGCCCGACGTGGGACTCGATCCCAGGACCCCAGGATCACGCCCTGAGCCAGAGGCAGATGCTCAACCACTGAGCCACCAAGGTGCCCCTTAATACAATCTAATTTATCATTTTTCCCCCATCATGCTTCGTGCTTTAAAAAAAAAAAAAGATTTGTTTATTTACTCTTGAGAGACACACACAGAGAGAGAGGCAGAGGCACAGACAGAGGGAGAAGCAGGCTCCATGCAGGATCCCGAAGTGGGACTCAATCCCGGGACTCCAGGATCGTACTCTGGGCCAAAGGCAGGCGCTACACCACTGAGCCACCCAGGGATCCCCGGAATACAGAGCTTTCTTAAACAGGATACAAAAAGCACTAAGCGGGCAGCCCCGGTGGCACAGCGGTTTAGTGCCGCCTGCAGCCCAGGATGTGGTCCTGGTGACCTGGGATCGAGTTCCACATCGGGCTCCCTGCATGGAGCCTGCTTCTCCCTCTGCCCCTCTTTCTCTCTATGTCTATCGTGAATAAATAGATAAAATTAAAAAAAAAAAAGCTCTGTACTCCAAGTTCATCAAGGTGTTCTTTTACATTGTCATCTGAAAGCAGATCTTTAAGACATTTGAAATTAACTTTTGTAATTGGTGTGAGGTTGGGCCTGGCATTATTTCCATGTGCATATCCAGTTGCCCCAGCACTAGTTACTGAAAAGGCTGTCCTTTCCTGACCCCATTTTGGGGTGAGTGATGATAGCAATTTCTCTTCGAGTGAAGGTAGGTGTGGATGTAAGGCATTTTGCTTTCTCTAAGTCTGGGAAGAGGGTTGCACTTAGGACTGTATCTGTCATAGCCACACAAATAGCAAATAGGCCCTAGGAGAAAAAGAGTCCTGTCCAGGAGCCAGGAGGCTGTCAGGAAATGAAGGAAAAGCCCCAGGGACTGACAGAGGTATCTAGATGGGACATTCACAGGGAGTTCAGGGGATGGGGTTTTGGCTTGGCAAGTGCAAGACGGAAAATGCGGGCAAAGAATTGATTAACTTTGACCGGGTCCCAGAACCAGGGCTGCCCTAGAGTGCAGGAGCTGTGGACCAGGGCCCAGGGCTGCGATCACCATCAGGATGTCCCACCCACGGAAATCTACTGAGAGGAGCTGGTAAGGCCCAGGACATAGGCCAGCCTTCCCTTGTAGTGTGAGGGGTCAGCCCCCATCCTGCGCAGCCATGATGGGCCCCTCATCCACAGAACCCAAAGGAAGAAGGTTGGGGCACAACCCATGGAGCATTGCCTCTGGAGACAGACCTCCTGGGTTGACATCCTGGATCCACCACTTGCTAGCTATGTAAACATGGGAAGACAACTAAACCTCTCTGTGCCTTTGTTTCATTTTCTGTAAATGGCAGTAACAATAGTGCCTACTTCCCAGGGCTGATCTGAGGATTAAATTGGGCCTACTTGCATCTGCAAGTGCTCAATAAATGTCAGCCACTGTTATTACCCTGGACGGCTAAATTCAGCCTCCCCGCCGGTGCTGTTCCCTGAGCGCAATGGAAACGAGGATCTTGAACAGCACGACCTAAGGGCCAGAATGTACGTCTCCAGCCTTGTCCAGGAGAAAGCGTGTCCACATCAGCTGGCCCCTGGGCACCTCTCCTGCCGGAGTCCTGGCTCAGGCTAAGGACTAACTGGGAGGACTCCTATGTGAGCCAGCCGGTGTACTGAGCCGGCCGGCCGGGGCCCCACTGGAGCCCAGCGCATGAGTTAGCAGGTGTGGGCGCCTGGAGAGGGTGCCCAGTCCCAGAGCCAGAAGCTGCAGCCTGCAGCCGAGGCCGGTGGAGGGTCTCAGTACCGCCACCCTGTGGGAAGGTGGACACTGCAAAGAGCTACCAGGCGGGAGCAAGTTCAGCAGCCAAGAAGCGGAGATCAGCCTGCGTTCTGCTCACCCAGGAACGGGCCCTGGCCCCGCCAGGACACCTGGACGGAGGGACACTCCCTTGGCTATCCAAAGATACCAGGAGTTCTGTGAGCTGTCAGGGTCATGTCTGCCCAGAGGGCCCACCTGTTCCTAACTCAAAGGTGACATTTCGGTGAGCATCAGTCCCGGGTTTGTGCATGACCCAGTTGCCCAGGCAGCCACGGCAGCTATCTGGCGCACAGGGACAGGACAGAGGGGGAGGGAGAGAGCCATGCACCTGGATTATTCACAGCGGGGGCTTCAACCACACCTCTGGCGGGCTTCCCCAGGGACACGTTGGCATGATCTATGTACTCCCACAGCAGCGCTGAGGCCCCCACACAACTCTGTGGGCCCTGAGCCCACGGCTCCAGAACAGGATTGGAGGCGGAGCAGAGGTGGCTGGAGCCTCACCTAACATGTAAGCTTATGCAGGGGGCTGCTCGAGTCCCAGACCCAGCTGGGGGACGTCTGCCAGGAGCAGGTGCAAGAGCCAGAGGCCTCAGTGGTAATACAGCTGCATGCACACCCGCAGGCTGCAGGGGCCCAGGGACTTCAGGGCCAGGCTGCCACCTATGTCAGACAGGGTATGCATGGATAAGAGCCCCTGGTGCTTGGGGAGCCAAAGTAGCCTGTCCTCTGCTCACCAAGCTGTGCTCCCCAGCATGAGGCTGTGTTGACCCAAGGAAGGGGCATCTTTTACACAAAGCCACTCAAGAAGCCAACACAGCTCTGCCCAGGGCACATGGGTGCAGACAAGGAGGCCCAAGGCCAACGAGCTGTTCAAAACCCTGGTTCCAATTCACTGTTCACTGACTTTTGGGAAAAAAAGCTTATGCTTGGTGTTTTGATTCCCCTGTTGCAAGCTGGAAAGTAGCTTGCCTGGTCTGGTGTACATTTCCTGTGAGCTGGGTTAGTTCCTGTAGACTAGAGTCAGTTCCTGTGGACTGATCATCTCTAGGTGCTCAGACGGATTGAGCATCTGACCTGCAGGACCACCCCCCACCAGCAGCCTCTTGAATCCCATGTCCATCTCCATCTTGACCTCTGCTAATATATTTATCCTCCTAAGGCCCTCAGTGAGTACCGTAAAGGATTCTCTCCTCCCTTCTCCTCCCCTCGTTCCACCACTTTCCCAGCACCAGCCTCTCCCAAGCAAATGTCTTTCCTGGGATGCCTGGGTGGTTCAGTGGTTAGCATCTGCCTTTGGCTCAGGGCATGATCCTGGGGTCCTGAGATCGAGTTCCACATTAGGCTCCCTGCCTGGAGCCTGCTTCTCCTTCTGCCTAAGGTTCTGCCTCTCTGTGTGTCTCTCATGAATACATAAATAAAATCTTTTTAAAAAACAAAAATAAAATGTCTTTCCTGAGTCTGAGATGTGATGGTAATGGATACTATCCATTCTCCACCATGGATATGTAACATTTTTTTACTTCTGTTTGGATCCTACCTTATTTCAAAATAATTTTAGGCTGCTGGTAGGAGTAAGCACACCCCTGTCCAAGTCATAAGACTGTTGTAAAAATTAAATGTGGAACATTATCAAACACAATACAAATGTGATGTTGCTATTTTCTCCAAAAGGACTTAGCCCACCCTAGTCTGCCCCCTTCCACTAGTAGAGTTGCCAATGGTAACCCCAAAACTTTCCAAGTTCTCTGAGCTGAACTCAGGGCTGATGCATGATTGCCTCCTCCTCCACCACCTTCCACTATGGCTTCAAAAGTTCCATAGATGCATTAGGGTTTTCTGTGTGCTGGTCAATGTGCTAAGAGCTTTAAATGTAGCATTGAATGTCAACTTAGTAGACTCTTGTTGTCCCCATTTTTTTAAAAAAGATTTTATTATTTATTTGAGGGAGGGAGGCAGAGAGCATGCGCGCACGCACATAAGTAGGGGGAGAGGCAGAAGGAGGAGAGAGAGCAGCCGACTCCCCACTAAGCAGGGAGCTCCATATGGGGCTCGAACCCAGGGCCCCTAGATCATAACCCAAGCCAAAGTCAGATGGTTAAGAAACTGAGCCACCCAGGTGCCCCATTCCCATTTTATAAATAAGAGGACTGAAGCTCATAATTCATATAATTTACCCATGATCCTGCAGGTAATAAGTGAAAGAGCTATCCCACGAAATGGTGATTTTATCCCCAGGAACACGACTCAGATGCCTCCCTGGCAATCCATGGATTGGGCCAGGTGTAAGGCAAAAGGGAATGGGGGGTGCTCTAGGTGGCAACTGGAGCACACACCCACTTGGGGACATTCCCACTCTCGGTCTTTTGTCCAGCCATCCCACCATGACACTGTGGCCAGTTCTGCCCCCTGTACCAAGGCTTATGCAAGTCCTGACTGCACCCTGCAAAAGCTGCTCTCCCTCCCCGCTGCCACCACCCAGGTCCTCATCACTCACACCTGGGATGCTGCAAGAGCCTCCTCCGTGGCCTTCCTGCCTCCAGCTTCTCCAGAGCCAGACAGCAGCCTTTCCCTGGGCACCCACTCCTACAGACACCCAGCCCCACAGACACCCAGCACTCACTGGCCCACCCCAGGGACCGTCATAGAATGGAAGGAACAAAGACTTTGCAGCCAGACGTTCAGGGTTCCAATATCAGCTCTGCTATTTGCTAGCTGGGTCACCTTGGATAAGTTCCTTAACCTCCCTGGCCCTCAATTTTCTCTAAGAGGAGCGTGAGGACAGTGGCATGCAGTCCCTAGGTGCACTGACTGTGCTGCGGGAGAACGCATGGTGGACACAAAGCTGGCAACCGGTTGGTGCTCTCTCCCCTGCGAGCGTCGCTGCCCCACCTGGGAAGTCAGAGGACTGAGGATTGGCCGCCTAACAGAGGAGCACTCAGCTCCCCACCCAGGGCAGCGTCCCACCTGTGAGACGGAGACCAAAACTCCAGCTACACGTGGTCTTGCGTTGACCCAGAGAAGGCGTGCGTGTGGCAGGAGCAGGTGCTCTGGATCCGCGGGCCTCCTCAGGGAGGCAGGAGGGCCCCCCAGCCCCCAGGCCCTGGGGAGGAGGGCTTTGCTCGTGGGCCGGGGCGCGGGGCCGCCCCGCACAATACCCACCCCAGACTGCCCAGGGCTGCCCAATCTGGGCAGCTTTATTCTCACCTTTTTTTTTTTTAAGATTTTATTATTTATTTACTTATTTATTTATGAGCAAGAACGCAGGAGGGAGAGGAACGGGCGGACACCATGGTGCGCTCGGAGCCCAGCACTGGGCTGGATCCCATGGCCGCAAGACCATGACCTGAGCCAAAATCAAGAGTAGGAGGCTCAACCGAGCCACCCAGGTGCCCCAACCTTATTCTCATCTTGAAAACAAAATGATTTGCCCAAAATTAGGTTAAATGTGATTTAATACTTAAGCCTTTTTTTTTTTAAAAGATTTTATTTATTTATTCATGAGAGACACAGAGAGGCAGAGGCACAGGCAGAGGGAGAAGCAGGCTCCATGTGGGGAGCCCGATGTGGGACTCCATCCCCGGACCCCAGGGATCATGACCTGAGCCAAAGGCAGATGCTAACCACTGAACCACCCAGGTGTCCCAATACTTAATGCTTTATTGGAGTTTCTGAGAAATGAATTTACAAATGAAGCAATACTCTGATGGAGCGACTGTTCTGTTCTGATGTAGGGTTTGGAAATTAGGATGACTGTCATCCTAACCAAACCATACCACCCCATCCCATGTGGGGGCACAGCCAGGACCCTCCCCTCCCCTCCCAGAGGAGCCACAGGGAAGGTGAAAGTTCTGTGACTGGTCAGGAACAGTCCCCTGGTGCAGACTTCATTGAGGGCCTGCTCTGCAGGGCAGACTGGACAAGGTGGGGTATTGCACTGTGGGCTATTTATTATTTTGGTGGGAGCCTTTTTAAAAACATTTTATTCATTCATGAGAGACACAGAGACATAGGCAGAGGGAGGAGAAGCAGGCTCCCCATGAGGAGCCCAATGCGGGACTCGATCCTAGGACCCCAGGATCATGATGTAAGCCAAAGGCAGATGCTCAACCACTAAGCCACCAAGTGCTCCTAGTGGGAGCCTTTTAAAACAGATCAGGTTTTTTTTCTTTTTTATATGCCCATGATGGGGCTCAAACTCATAACCCCGAGATCAAGAGTCACATGCTCTACCAACTGAGCCAGCAGGCATCCCTAAAGCATATATAATACATTTTTACTCAATAATTTATAAAATCTTGGACCCGATCATTTCACTCATGGGCATCTAGACTGACGGACTATCTATAAAGCATGTAAAGGTAATACTAGCTACTACTTATTGAGCACTTAGTATTTTATATCCAGAGATGGGATTGACTGAATGATTCCAAAATCAACCCTTGAAGACAGTGCTATTATCATCCCCATGAAATGGGTGAGGACCTAGTGGCACAGAAAGGGGTATTAACTTGCCCAAGGTCACACAGCCAGAATAGCAGTGGAGCCAAAATGTAATCCCTGGGCGGTCTAACTCCAGAGTGAACACCTTTAGCCATGACGTTAGGCCACAGTCATTCTCAAGAGAAGAGCTGTGATGATGAATTAATTACAGTGAAGCATACCATGGGACGGTGAATAGTAATTAATATGTATACAGGCATACCTCGTTTTATTGTGTTTTGCTTAATTGCTCTTCACAGATCATGCGTTTTTTAATAAACTAAGGGTTTGTGGCGACCCTGCCTCGAACAAGTCTATCAGTGCCATTTTTCCAAAAGTTTTTGCTCACTGGTGTCTCTGTGTCACATTTTGATACCTCTCGCAATTTTTCAGTTTTTTTTTAAGAGAGAGCACGTATGACAGCAGCGAGTGCATCTGCAAAAGTGGTGGGGAGGGACAGAGGGAGAGGGAGAGAGAGAATCTTAAGCAAGCTCTATGCACACCACAGAGCCCAACTCGGTTGATCTCAGGGCCCTGAGATCATGACCTGAGCTGAAACCAAGAGTCAACGCTTAACTGCACCACCCAGGCATCCCTCAATTTTTTCATTATTTGTCATGGTGACCTGTGACCAGTGATTTTATGTCACTATTGTAATTGAGGGGCATCACAAACTGCATCCATATAAGGTGGCAAACTTAATAAATGTGTGCGCTCCGACTACTCCACCCACCAGCCTTTCCCATGGCTCTCCCTGGGCCTCCCTCCTCCGAGACACAACAATGTTGAAATGAGGCCAATTAACAACTCTACAAGGGCCTCTAAGTGTTCAAGTGAAAGAGTCTCACACTTTAAAGAAAGAGAGAGAGAGGGAGGTAGGGAGGGAGGAGGGGAGGGAGGGAGGGGAGGGGAGGGGAGGGGAGGGGAGGGGAGGGGAGAGGAGAGGAGAACAGCCTTACTGCTGATATGGAGAAAGTTTTAGTGATCTGGATAGACAATCAAACCAGCCACCACGTTCGCTTCGGCCAAAGCCTCTTGTAGGGGCTAATGCAGCTGGCGACTTCACCTGGAAGTCAGTACGCCTACAGCAGTGCAAAGGTCCTAGGCCTTGAGAATTGGGAATACTCTGCCCGCGCTCTGTCAGTGGAGCAATGAAGCCTGTGCAGAGGACAGCACATCTGTTTACAACATGGTTTACTAAGTATTCTAAGCCCACTTTTGAGACCTGCTGCTCAGGGGAAAGGTAAAGCAAACTGAGAAGCTTCTGGAAAGGATTCACTCTTCTAGACGCCATCAAGAATATTTGTGATTTGTGGGAAGAGGTCAAAGATCATTAACAGGAGTTTGGAAGAAGTGGATTCCAGCCCTGATGGCTGACTTTGAGGGATTCCAGACCTCAGCGGAGGAAGTGACTGCAGATAAGGTGGACACAGCAAGAGAGCTAGAACTAGAAGAGGAGCCTGGCGATGAGGCTGAACTGCTGCAGATTCAGGAGACAGACGAGCTGCTTCTTAGGGAGTAAAGACAGTGGCTTCTTGCGGTGGCATCGACTCCTGAAGATGAGGTGACGTTTATTGAACTAACATCAGCGGACTTCGAACAGCATATAAACTTAGTTGATAAAGCAGCAGCAGGGGAGGGGGCACCTGGGTGGCTCAGTCGGTTAAGCGGCGGTGGACCGGTGGACTCTTTATCTCATCTCCAGTCATGATCCCGGGGTGGAGGCCTTAGGGCCAAGAGATCAAGCCCAGCATTGGGCTCCAGGCTCCATGCTTGGCGTGGAGTCCGCTTGGGATTCTCTCCCTCCCTGCCCCTCCCCCGCTCGTGCTCCCTCTCAATAAATACATTAAATTTTAAAAATAAAAGTAGCAGGGCTTGAGAGGATTGACTCCCAATTTTGTTTTTAGAGATTTTATTTATTTGACAGAGAGAGAGAAAGCACAAGTAGGCAGAGTGGCAGGCGGAGAGAGAGGGAGAATCAGGCTCCCGGCTCAGCGGGGCTCCATCCCAGGACCCTGGGATCAGACGCTTACCAACTGAGCCACCCAGGCGCCCCTTGACTCCCATTTCTGAAAGAAGTTCAACTGTAGGTAAAATGCTATCAAACAGCATCACTAGCTACAGAGAAATTGTGAAAGGAAGAGTCGATTGATGTCGCAAACTTCATTGTTGTCTTAGTTGAAGGAACTGCCACCACCACCGGCCTTCAGTAAATACGAGCTGGATCAGTCGGCAGGCCTCAACACCCAGGCAGGACCCTCCACCAGGAAAGAGATTAGGACCTGCTGACAAGTTCAGGTGATGGCAAGCATTTTTTGCAATAAGGCATTTTTCAATCAAGGTATGCATTGTTTTCTTATACATATGCCATTTTATTTTTTACATATTCTCTACATATGCTGCATTTTAGACAAAATGCTATTGAACACTTGACTACAGTATAGTGTAAACATAAGTTTTGTACACACTGGGAAATGAAAAATTAACTCCTCACTTTTTTTTTTTTTTTTTGTTAGAAGACAAAAGTTTAATGAAAACTGGTCTCTGGATAGGTAAGAATCCACAGGGCTAAAGAGTTACATGGGACTATAGTAGAAATTTAAAATAGATGCTGAAGTAAATGTTACATATTATCATCATCTGATTCATCTTCTTCCTTTAAGGATTCCTTAGCGTATTTCTCTGCCTCTTCCCTTATATCTTTTGGAACAATTTCATGTCTTCCTTTAGTTATTTCACCAACCCAGCTGAGCTCTAGTTCAAAAGCTTTATCCTTAACTTCATCATGTACTATGTAAATTATTTTTGCAACTTCTTTAACAACATCATGGCAGGTCATTTCTTTCATCTGAAGTTTTTCAATTTCTGTCTTTGCAGCTTGCCTGGCTTTGCCAATGGCACAACCCCAATAACCATATGAAACTCCTGATGGGTCAATCATGCAGAGCTGTGCACCGTCATTCACACTGTAAGACCCTAACATGAAACTGCAGCCAAAAGGTCTAACAGCACTGTAAAGTGTATATGCGTGTACATACATGGCCACTCTGTCTGCAAGATGTTTTAATGGAATGTTATAGCCAAAATTAGATCTAAAGTTGGAAGCTTCTTCTCTTGCAATGTCTGCTAAAGAACGAGCATCGGCCAACAAACCCGCTACTGCCATTCCAACATGCCGATCAACATTAAAAAGTCGTTTGTTGGAACCTTCTTCATAAAGTTTAGAAAGGACTAACTTTTCTACCCCAAAGACAACGCCATCTTTACATCTGATTCCAATAGCTGTACTACTGTTTTCCACAGCCTTCATAGCATATTCAACTTGAAAAACTCTCCCATCAGGAGAGAATGTAGAGGCTGACAGGTCATACCCGGTGCCGATAGAGCTCATGGTGCACAAACCTCCCGGACACCACCGCCGCCTTCCAAGGCCTTAACTCCTCACTTTATTGTGATATTTGCTTTCTTGCAGTGCTCTGGAACCCAGCCTGCAACCTCCCTGAGGTATGCCTGTATTTATAAAGGGTATCTTAATGACATGTGGAAGGACTTACGTCAAAGTATCTTAGGAACGCAAAATTACACATATATGATCTCAACTCTAAAATGTCTTCTTAGAAAAGAGCTGAAAGGAATATATACATGCATATTTAAGATATATAAAAGGGCACCTGGGTGGCTCAGCCAGGCATCGGACTCTTGATTTCAGCTCAGGTCATGATCTCAGGGTCATGGGATCCAGCCCCACATCAGGCTCCATTGCCGAGCGTGGATCCTGCTTAAAATTCTCTCTCTGGGTGACAAAGCATGAGAGACTCCTGACTCTGGGAATCAAACAAGGAATAGTGGAAGGGGAGGTGGGCGGGGGGATGGGGTGACTGGGTGGCGGGCACAGAGGGGAGCCCTTGACATGATGAGCCCTGGGTGTTATATGTTGGCAAATCGAACTCCAATAAAAAAATAAAAACGAAAAAAAAAAGTTTCTCTTCTTCTCCTTCTGCCCCTCCCCCAACCCCACTCTTGCATGTGTGCTTTTTCTAAAGAAAAAATACATAAATAAAAATAAAATACATAAATATATCTCAGACATGCAGATGATCAGCAAATAGTTATTGAACGTGGTGGACTCTTGAGTGGGCTTTTTTTTTTTCCCTCTTCCTGTTTTTCTCTAGTCTCCAAATTTCTCCAAAGAAAAACTATTTTCTTTTCAGAGAGAACTATTATGGCCTTGTGGTTTTGAAATTATTTGCTCTCAGTAAATGCTTAAAAGAAAAATTTTGGAGAAACTAAAAATCCAGAAGCATTTTTAAAAAAGATTGAGAGGTTGTGAAGAAACTCTTCAAATTGGGAACACTAGGCCTCAGCACACCCCAAGAACATACAGAGAACGTGGAATGGATGGTTGGGCACACGAGGCCCAGGCGGGGCTGGGGGCCCTGGACCAGAAGCTCGTGGCCTCCGACCCATGGCCTGCCACTCAGACTTCCCGGGCCTGTTTCCCCAACCAGAAACCAGCCAGGGTGGCACAATCTCCGGCTTAGCGTTCTGCTCTCGGGTTTGGTTTTAGCATCTATCCACGAGTGGAACGAAGTAGTATGTGATGCCTTCTGGAGGCCGACGGACCCCTGGTCTTGGCCAGGAGTGAGCCTGGTGGCCAGGGGCTCTCGGGAGAACTGCCCAGAGGTGCCCGGTGAGACGCAGAGGCGCTGTGCCCGGGAGAGGCCAGCACACAGGAGGGGACGAAGCCTGCCTCCTGCTGCTCACCAGGCCCTCAATTCCTCACGCTCCTGCTGTTCCAGGGCTAACAGCTGGTGAAGCGCCAGCCCACCTACCTCCCCACTCAGCAGCTGCAGCAGCATCCACAGGCTTCTGTCACCAACCCCGGACCGCAGACAGCACAGGGCACATTCCACTCTTCTCCTTTACTCGGGCAACACACCCCAGCAACCTCTAGGCCCAAGGAGGTGGTCAGAGACTGTGCATCAAACACGAAGCAAAGCTAAGCTGCTTAAGCCTGGATTCCAAAGGCACAGGGTTGCTCCAACCCTCGTAAGAGAGCGTGCAGGTGGAACTTGCGGGTGTCCACACCACACCTTTCGCCTCCGTCAGAACCTCTGAGGGGAGGACCCGGAAATGGCATCTTAAACAAGTTCCCCGGAAAAGCCTGATGTCCCAAGTTTGAGAACCACTGGCCTCAGGTCTGCTTGTGAGGGCAGACTCCCATGTTTACCCAGCAATCCCGAGGCTGGCAGTGAGGCAGCAGGAGGCGGAAGGGGATGCTAGCCGACACGTGGGTCTGACGGCCATGTACCCCAGACCAGGGGCCAAGTGTCCACTTCAGAGGGCCTGGGGCAGCAGACGCATCCCCCGCGGGCCTCTCTGCCCTCCCAGCTTCCTGAATGAGTCTCCTGCGTGCACACTCCTCAGCCAAGCCCTGTCACCCCCTTAGAGCGGCTCTGCCTCTGTCCACATCGCTCCTGGATCCACCCTCAGCCACCCCCGCTGCCAATGGCTCCCTCTCTCCCGACAGAGATCCCACCTGCCTCATTACTTAAATAATCTTTATTTCTCATGCACTAGGAAAGATGGGATCGTATGAAACACTGCATTTCACAGCAAAGGCCTCTGACCAGAACACAACACAGGGGACCAGGTGGACTCAGGTCTGGTCAAAACTCGGGACCAGAGTGGGGATACCGCCCTCAGGGCTGCTGGCAGCTTCAGACGCCCCAGCTGCAGCGGCCCCGGATACAACACAGGGCAGCCGCCCCTCCCACAGAGGCACAGGGAGCTGACACCAGAGGAGCATGTGGACCAGAGAAGGGACGGGGGGGCTGCTAGGCAGTGACTTGGTCGAGGCGGGGGTCTGGCACCTCCACGGCCCGAATCGAGGGAGCCAGGGCTCTGCGCCCAGCTCTGCTCACTGCAGAGCCGCCGAAGGAGCTGTAGAGACCCCCCGGCCCGTCTGCTCCTCAGCCACACACACACAAGACAACATCTGCCCAGGCGGGACCCCAAAGGCTAGAGGGGCCAGCCCCCCTCAACCATCCCTAGCCCCTGCAGACACACTGACGCCCACAGGACAGCCAGACTTCGGAGGTTCCTGGGACAGGGCCACCGGCGTGGCAGCCAGCAGACCGGAGGCCATCGAGTAGCCGAACCAAGACCAGGGCAGGGCAGATTCGGGGCACCATTTTCACTGAGGTGGCATGGGAACAGAAACAGGTCGGAGACGTGCAGGACAGAACAAAGTAGAAAGGACACATGCAGACACAACAGGGTGGGAGGGGCCGGAGGCTAAAACGTGGTCAAGGTGCTGAGAGGCAGGGGACACGGTGGGCCGGCCTCACTGAGGCCCCGGGCTGGTGGTGACCCCGGCCTCCTCTGGGATGGTCTCCAGCATCTCACTCTGGACAGCCTGTGTGATGAGCGCCAGCTCCTGGCACAGAGTCTCGTAGCGGTAGCCCACACGGATGTCCGGCACGTTGGTACGGCGGATGTCATTGCCCTCGGGGCCCTCCTTGGTATAGTTGGGTCCCAGCCAGTGGCTCTTCACCTGCAGTGAGCACAGGTATCAGGCAGGGTTGCCGCTAGCTTTGAGGGGCCAGGGCCGGCACCCCTGGGACCCCCCCCAGATGCAGAGGGGAAGGCGGGCACCAGGCTGCAGGCAGGTGGGTGCAGTACCTTGTGGGAGAAGCCGCTCATGAGCACACTGTTGCGTGCCAGCTCACACATGTCGCAGGAGCTGAGCTTCCACACCTGGGTGGCAATGCTATATTCCTCCATCAGTGGTTCCTGCACAGGCCAGGTTCCCTCAGACAGTGCACGCGGACCTGCCACCCAGTCCCCACCTCGCATCCTGGTACCCATGCCTCCCTGCCGCCCCCTCCACCATGGGATTTGCCACGAGACTGCTGCCCTCCACCAGCAGGGGGCAGCACCAGCCCCGTGACCCAGGTGCCAGTGTGGCCTTTGAGTCCCAGAACCACCGCGGACCTGGCCACCCTCTGGATTCTGACCTTGGTGAAGTGGAACTGCAGGGGATCATCCGTGGACAGCGAGACCATGAGACCACGGGACAGGTACTCAGGTAGTGGGTTCCGGTGGTAGCTGAGGAAGAGGCTGTTGTTGCTGAGCGGAGACATGGCGATGCCAATCTGGGCCAGGTAATACAGGTACTGCAGGACCGGGGCCTGTGTGGACAACAGTAGGGGAGGGCCTGTCAGGCAGCCTCAAGGCTGGGGAGGACACCTGGTTCTGGAGGGCACAGGCTGCAGGGGGTGGGCAGGGAGTCTGGGCTCATGTACAGCCAAAATCAAGCTGAGGCCTCAGGGTGGAAGCTGGCGTGTGGCGGGACCCAAACTGGAGGTTTGGGGAGGAGAAGATAAGTTGCTAAAGAGGCTCAAAGGGTTGAGAGGAAGGTGAGCGATCTGGAGGGGAAGCTGTGGGTGCAGACCCTGACCTTGCGCAGAAGCAGCCCGTGAGAAATGTTCTCCGCCAGCATGAAGGCTGACACCAGGTGGTGGATGGGCCCGGCTTCCCCACAGTGCGGCCTCAGTACAAACGTGTGGAAGCCCCTCTGCCTGGGGGCATAAAGACGGCCTCAGCTCCCATGCCGGGGCTTCTCAGCCCCCCGCCCCCAGTGATTGCGCAGACCTGGGACAAAGGGCCAGGAGTGGACTCTTGGCTGTGAGGGGGTGAGCCGTGGAGCCCCGAGGGCACAGAAAGAACTTGCTTGGTCAGGGAGTGGGGGGCAAGAGATGGGTCAGGGCTCTGGGGCCCCCAGGGCAAGGTGGGTAGAGACATCACACTGATGGAACAGGCACCTGCGCAGGTGGTTCAGCATGGCCATGTTGGCAAAGGTGTAGTATAGGTAGTAGGCGTAGGGTGGGTTGTCCTCCTCCACCCAAGCCTCAGGGAGAGGGCTCTCCAGGTTGAAGACGTGATTCTCGGGCTTAGACTCGTCATCCACGCTGTCAAAGCCATCCACCTGGCACAGGTCCCTGGGGTCAGGCCCAGAGCTGTGGCTGTGCCTGAGGCAGGCCCCCCCTTGCCCCTCCCCCCTCTGGCCTGGTGCTAGCCCCCCTCACGTGTTCCAAGAAGAGGTGCAGCTCTGGGTGGCTGGCAGGGTGCACGGTGGCCTCAAACAGTGGCAGGAAGATGTTCTCCAGCATCTCCTGGAAGTTGGCCAGCTGGCCCTTGGTGCGGTACACGTCGCTGCAGCAAGACGTGTGCACGTAGTATGTACAGGTCAGTCGGCGTGGGAGCTTGGCCCGAAATCACGGAGGGCACTGGACACTGGGTGGGCCAGGCTGGGCAGGTTCCACACGTGGAACCAGGGGGTTCTCGTCTACTCGGAGGGCTTGGCTGGGACCGGGGAGGATCCGCCACCCCAGGTGGGCAGAAGGTGGGGGATCCCCACCCTCCCCTCGAATTCTCCCCCCACAGGCACCCCCACCCCCACTCCAAGGGACACTCACAAGAGGCGGGGCACTTGCACGAGCCAGCGCACATTGGGAGAGTGTACTCGGTGCTTCACGGCCCAGCAGGCCAGCTTGTCCCACTCATCCCTGGAGCGCCCGTAGATGGAGAGCCGCAGCTCCGCATTCTGGTATTTGCTCTCCTCCAAATCTGACATCACCTCCTGAAAGACACACAGAGGGTGATGTCACACCCACCCAGCCACGACGCCAGGCTCCCGTGCGGCCAGGGGGAGGGCTGCTCACGGCTCACGCTTCCCCTGCACGTGAGCCTGGGCAGTCACTCCTCCTCACCTTGATAATGTGGGCAAAGTACTTTCCAGAAACCCTGTTGTCAGTCTTGATGAAGATCTCTCGGAGGACAGACTCCCCAATGGGGTTGTATTTGGCATTGAACTTGTCAAAACGATGGAAGGTGTTCCTGTCCTGGGGAAGACGGACAAGCCCAGGTCACCCCTGCCCCCGGTGCACCCAATGACCCAGCCCCTTGGCCCCTCCCCTGTGCCACCAGGACAGACCGCGTGCATGTCCAGCGTGTCCACACTCAGGTCATAAGCAGTGAGATTCATGCTCTCGAACACCTCCCGCAGCGTCTGCTCGCGGCCCTGCTCCACATGCACGATCTCCTCCAGGTGTCGCTTCATTGCCCGTTTGATGAAGCGCAGCAGGTGCTTCTGGTTCATGCAGGACGAGGCATGGATGTGTGTGTCCACCTGGGGCAGGACAGGATGGGCGGTGCTGCTGGGTTCCCTGGAGACTGGGAGGGTCCGGGGCTCGGGCAGTGGGACGAGAGAGGAACCTTCCACAAGGGAGGCCGGGCAGGGGCTCAGGGCCGGATGCAGGAGGGTGGACCCACCTTCCGGATGTTGTAGAAATCTCGGTGTGGCACCTTCTTCTGGGCGGCCAGCTCCTTCATCTCATTGAGCAGCACGTGCATCTGGAATTTGGAGCTCAGGTACTGTAGCCGGCGGTAGCAGAAGGACTTTCTGGGCAGGGAGAGAACAAGGGTGGGGGCTCTGGGCCACAGAGACATGCCTTGGGAGGGCCTGGGTAGCAAAGCAGAGGGGGGCAGGAGAGGGGTACACTGAGGCAACAGATGGAGGGAAAGTCTAGGACTTGGTGACCATGAAGGTGGTAGGAGGTGTCTGTGGCAGGGCTGGGGCTGGACGAGCCAGGAAGCCAAGTGTCTGGGACAGGTGGGGACTCACATGGGGCCATTGATTATCAGGGCCATCAACACATTGACATCTGCCACGAATTCCTGCAGGTCAGGGTACGGCAGCTCCACCTCTGAGCAACTGGCAGGTAAGCAGAGCTCAGTGAGGAGAGTAAGTCACGTCCCACGGACCCTGCTGAGCCAGTGCAGCCCCCACATAGCTCCCCTCCACACACCCTCCCAAGCCAGGGTACTCCCCACACCCGCTTACTGCTCATCAGCTTCCCTGCGGGTGTAGACATGCACCACGCCCTGCACCATGCGCAGACCCAAGCCCAGGTCCCCAGGCATGGTGCTTGGCTCACAGTACTCATATGGGTGCTGCTCCAGCGCAGGGGGGTGCACGGGGGCATCTGCAGGATGGGGAGGGTGGAGTCAGAGCCAGGGATCTTCCAGGCCACCTGTTGCCTGGCCCAGAGGCCCCACGGAGGGTGGGAGCTCCTGCCCCTGCTTCCACCCACCATGTGCCGAGAGAGGTGGGAATAAGCCTGGGTGGGAAGCCGCAGGCACGGTGGAGGCTCCTGGGCATCAAAGCTCGGGGAGTCTGGGACAGCAGGGTACTTGGAGTAGGGCAAGGATGGGGGGTCCCACCAGCGGACACAGGGGTGTCGGGGCCCTGCTCGTAGGTCCGCGTCTCCAGGGGCTTCTCAGCCAGCTGCTGCAGGTACCGGCGGGTTGTGGGGCAGAAGCTCTGCAGCGACAGGGCCATGTACTTCTCCCGGATGAAGAGCGCCCGCACCACACTCTTGGCTGCATCCAGCAGGTCGGTGAACGGCACCTGGAGACAAGGACACGGGGCTGCCTTCCTTGGTCTCAGCCCCAGACCAGGCTCACTTCTTCCCCCAAAGCCTGACCCTAGAAACCGTGCATCAGCCAGTTCCCAGCCAGACCCTGTGCCCCTCCAGTTTTTGGAAAGAGAAATGCCTCCTCTAGCTGCACCCCATTCCCAGGCTAGGGGAGCCCACTGGTACACCGTGGAGTCAAGGGGTGGTGGAGACCCAAGGCCCACACTGACCCCACACTTCTCCTCGCCAGAGATGGTGACCCGCTGAAATTCTCGCTCTAGCACCACGTCTCTTTCCCGTAGGCCCCGGTCGCCTTGCCCCTCGCCCTTCTCCTTGTAGAGCCTACAAGGGGACAGTCCAAGGGAGGGGGCTGGAGCCAGCAGCAGGACAGGCCCCAACCCACCCCCCACTCCCCTCTGTGCCCCTCCGCCCTCCTCACTGGAGGTCTGAGTCACTGTCTGTCTTCAGGAAATCTTGCTTGGCCCGAAGCAGGATGTCTGGCTCCAGCCTAGAATTGAGAGGGGCAAGACGTCAGTCAGGTGACAAGGGATGGCCCCTATTCTCGGGGCCCTGCACCGTGCTGGCTGCTGAGCACATGTTGGTCCTCGTGGCTGCATGGGGCCACAGAACCCTGCACCCACCCTGCACTGTGGGTGCTCTCTTGCTCTACCTTAGAGATGAGAAAGCACATCCAGAAGGTGAGTGACATGTTTTAGGCCACACTGGTGGGTAGAAGACAGAACTGGAACTCAACAGCCTGACTCCAAAGCCTGCACTTCACACGACTGTTCTATGCTACCCAAAGGGGGGGCAGGATGGGACAGGGACAGAGACACAGCTCTCAAAGTGTCCGGACAGAGACAGGCACTGGGCACTGTCCTGTGCCTCCTACCTGCCCCACAGCCATCTGGCTGTGCCCCCTCCGTCTCACGGCTGCCTGTGGACTCGGGGGCTGGGGCCTTACTTGACATCCTGGCTGATCTGCCTCTCCAGGCGCTGCCTCCGCTCCTCCAGCTGCTCAATGGGGCTCTCCTCAGGGAACTCGTACGGGGCGCTGCGGAGCTCGCTCTCAGCCAGGGAGCGGCTGAACAGCTCCTAGGGGGAGAAGGAAGGGTCAATGTGCCAGGCACTCGGCCGCCAGGCCCTCCCTCGCAGAGTCTAGGGATGGGGTGAGGGCAGCAGGATTCGGAGGTACCTGGGAGAGGCTAGGGATGAGGGCACAGCCAAGCGTGAAGTAAGGGGACGGCTGAGATGGAGGGGTGTGGGGAGCAGAGACAGGGCATGGGGACAGCAATGGAGGGACACAGGGTGAGGTGTCAGGTGATACCTCAGCGATCTCCTTGCATTTGCCATCCATTGATGTGCGTAGGTCGAGTGGGAAGTGCTTGAGGCAGGGGGCAGGGCCTGGCAGGGACCGGGCAGACTGCAGCGGAGGGGCCCCCAGCCCACCCCGAGCCTCTGTGGAGACAGCGATGCCAGGGTCAAAGGGTGGAGGGCAGGGCCTGTGTGCACTGGGAGCCCTGGGCCCCTGCATGCCCCAGGCCTGTCCCAGACAGAGGCCAGGGCCTAGAGAGTGGGCAGTCCCTCCTCGGAGGCTGAGGAGTGGGCCTGCACGTGGCTCCCAAAGGACCTCACCCTCACTGTCTGGCAAGGGGCCCCTCATCCCCTGCAGGCTCAGGAGTGGGGGTCCTGAGTCAGCCTCGAGGGCCAGTGGATTTGCTCACTCCAGAAGTAAGAATCTGAATCCTGGACTAGGGGCGCTGCCTCAGTGAGCAGGAGACCTCCTACAGGCAGACCCATGTGTACGTGTTCGGGGGTGCGCACACACCCGCGCACCCCCCCCCCCCCCGGGTGCTAAGGACCTGGTGGCTGTGCCCCAGGCCGCAGCTTCCAGGGCAGGCAGGCTGGCCGGCCAGGATTAGACCTGCTTCTGGCCCCAGCAAGCCTCCTCTCAGAAACCCAAGGCCTGTGCTCGACATACCAGACCTGCAGAGACCTACACTGGCTGCCACTGGGCTCTGAGCTGTGCGCCAGCCCCCTGGGGCAGAGGAGGAGAGGAAGTGCAGGACCTGCCTGGCAGCAGGACGACCTCCTCCCCAGGGGCGTGCCTCTCCCCCAGGACCCCAGGGCTGCCAACATGCAGCCTGGCCCCAGCCTGCCCCTCCCACTGCTGGCTGCCCCTCCGAAGGGAGCTGCCACAAACAGTCTGCGCCACTCAGAGGCCCCAGGATCTGGGCCGGAGGCCCCAGGGAGGGCCCAGGGAAGGCAGGCAGTTCCGAAGCCAGGGCGTCCCCACAAGGAGGGCGGCACTCCTCAGCGGCACGACCAGGAGGCTGGCAGTAAAGGCCGTGCGGGTGAGGGTGCTAGTCTCGGCCGGTCCTGAGCTCCCAGCCACCGCAGACCCTCCCTGGGCTTCAGCCCCACCCTCCTGGCTAGGAAGCTCTCCACACCCAACTGGGCTCTCCCAGACTGCTCTGAAGGTACTCCCTTCCAGCACCCTCCTTTCCCCTCTCCACCGGGTCTCAGGCCTGGGACTAGAGGCTTTGCCCAGGTGGCGTGCACCTTAAAGTCTGTGGGCTCACTTCACGACCCGCCCCCCCCAGTTGGGTTACAAAGCTGGACAAAGGGAGGAGGAGGGGCCTGCCCTGGATCTAGGATCCAGGACCCAGCTCCCCCTACCCACTCTCCGTAGTGCCTGCCTGGATCCTACCTGCAGAGTTCGGGCGGCCCCAGCCAGCAGCCCAGGGCACCCTGCCCTCTGGTTTGCTGAGTGAAGCTGTAACCAGTCCCCCAGGACAGCTCAGGGGCCGGCATGGGCTGTACCAAGTGCAGCTGCATGCAGGGGAGACCCTAGGATGGCAGTGAGCAGGGGGCTAGGGAAGCCCAGGGGAGCCAGAAATCAAGGCAAGGAGTATCAGAGTTGGGAAATGAAAGGAATCTCAGAAGGGAACAGGGCCTTAACCTCTCCAGTACCAGAGTGGAGCCCCCAAGGGGGTGGAGCAGGGTAGGCCAATAAGGCCAGGGCAGTCTGGCTGGGGGGGGGGGGGTCAGGCCTCCTCCAAAAGCACTACCCTGGGGACTGGTGAGCGGGTAGGGCCAGGATGGCCAAAGAATGGCGGGGAAGGAGGGGGGGAGCAGCCCTCCTGTGTGTGCACAACACTCCCAGGCCAGCTTCCCCTGCCCAGGGGCCTTGTTTTGCTCACCACTGTCCCCTGGGGCTCGGACCACGGGGTCCCCTGGGACAGACAAAGCATCTTCCAGGGCGAGAAGTTGGCTGGCAGTGAGGGAAGTGAGTCGGTCCAGATAGAGACCAGTTGCTGAGCTCCTCTGCTGCCCATGGGGGCTGACTCACGGCTCCCCAGGCCTCCAACCTCCTTTCTAAGCCTATCGCCAGGAACAAACTGTCCAGGAGGAGAAGTGTGGGAGATAAGGGACTAGAATTTGGAGGACTTGAGTCTGAGTCGGACTCTATACCCACCTACTAATGGGTCCCTGCCTCCCGGAGGCTTCGAGTCCTATCTAGAGTGGGGTGATAAGCGGGTCCTGCCCTGCCTAGCCACAAACTGCCGTAAGGCTAATGGAGATACGGTCTCCAAGTGGTCCGTGAAACACCATATTCTGGGATTGTGAACTCCTGAGACCCTCCAAACACTTACCACCTATACTTGCCACCTACCAGGGAGGATGGGAGGTTCTGCGCCCCATGTGGGCCAGCAAAAGCCAGCAGTGAAGGGCAGGAAAGAAAACTTGACACAGGCAGAGATGGGGGGAGGAGGGTGACACTATCTCATACTCAGAAGAGGGCAGAGCAGGAAGAGAAAAGAAAGATGGGCACCTACTCCACACCCAGGGTATAAGCCAGAGCCCAAGGTCCTCACCTGCCCAAGAACCTTGACCCTACACAACTGGCTGCTTCTAGACCCCTGGGGGGGGGGGGGGCGCCCACAGACTTCCATGGCTGGTCTCGGTCTGGTCAGCAGGAGTTGAATTGAGGGTCCTATTTTCAACCTCCTCTCTTAGCAGAGTGACCCAAGATCACAGAAACGCTGGGGTGACCTGGACAGGTTCCAGCAGCCGGAGCCATTCCTCCAGGCCCCTGCAAAGGGCTGCCGGGTTTCACTAGAGGTGATAGTAGTAGTAGTAGTAGATAGGCAGTAGTCTCCACACTCCCTGAGGCCAGGCCTAGAACACCCAGCTTCCTGCCTGCTGCTCCCTTCCCCAGAATCTATGCCACTGCAACACACACACACACACACACACACACACAGGAGCCAGGGGGGACTGCTCCCACCAACCAAGGTCTTGCCACCCCATCTACCCTCTCCCCAGGAGCCCCCCTCACCCACTGCCAGGACCACCTCAGGAGAGAGGCAGTGACGTGCCCAAGGCTTTGACCCATAAGTCTCAGATGCTCTCACTGGGTGACCACCCAAAGATGTACAGACCTAGCCCCAGGGGACACACTCTGGAGGGCTCAGACCTGGCACAGAAAACAGACCCTCAGGACAGTACTGACCTCTGGTCAGTATTTTCAACAGCAGAAGAAAATACAGGAGGAGGAGGATCCGGCTATAGGTATAGACAGCTGCTGAGGAGAGGGGGAGAAGACACTGGCTTGACCTGGTCACCAGAATGGGGGCGGTCCTTCCTTAGCCACAAGGCCTGGGGACAGCAGACAGCAGGTAGCTGGCCCTCAGCAAGCACATACTCCGGCACCCACCAGGCCCTCAGGGGGATGGACACAGCCCCACCATGCTGCCTGCTCCAAATGGTGCAGACATGCCTCCCAGAGTGGGAGCCAAACCGAAGGGTGCAGGAGCACACACAGGCAGGCAGCCCGCAGCCCGGCCTGAGCCCCTAAAGCAGGCCTGGCCCAAGGACACCCCGTACTGAGAAAGCCCACAAGAAAAACCATGAATAGCCAAACAGCAGATGATGGATACAGTTGAGCCCCCAGCCCCTGGATGCCTGGCAGCGGCGAGTGTGCCCTAACAGCAGACCCCCACCCCACCCCAGGAAGGGGATTGGAGATCTGGGGTCCTAGGAAGAATGAAGCACAGGAGGACGCCTGAGCCTGCTGGGCAAAGACACAGCCGCCAGCAGTGTGACCAGCCCACGAGCCAGTCAGTCCCACACATCTCCCTCTCCATTCACACACGCTCCACATGCAAACAGTCTTAGCACATCCACACGCTGACACGTGTGCAAACACACCTCTTGCGGCACCCACACCTGCGCTCATTCCTCTCAGAGGCCAGCAGCCGCGACACTGAACCTGTCACCTCCCACTGTACCTCCGTGTCCACAGCACCTCCCTAGCCACTGTCCCGGGCAGAGGACTAGGAGGGGCGCCGCCCCAGGCAGGGTGCCCCAGGCAGGGTGCCCCAGGCAGGGTGCAGGACAGGGGCGGCCCCTCCGTCAGGACCAGCGGCCCAGGGCCAGCCGCGGGGGGAGACCGGTGCCTGGGGCTGGGCAGCACTCACCTGGCACTGCAGAGGCGGCCTGCACGCTGGCCAGCTTCTTAAAGGGATATTTGGCCTTGGGGCTGCCGGGGCCGGGTGGGTTGGATGCCATGGCTCGCGCCGCGGGGACGGCGGGGGCACTCGGAGGCGCACGAGCGGGGCCTGGCCCTGCCACATCCAACCCCTTCCTCCGCCCCGCCCCCAGCGGGCCGACCGGTGCAGGAAGCAGAAGCCCCGCAGGCGGAAGAGGCCCTGGCCACGATTCCTGAGGTTGTCTAGGCAACCTCGGGAGGGGGCCTCCGTCGCCTCCCTGCGCCCTCCCTCGGCTCCGCAGAGCTGGGCGCGCGGCGACTGCCGGCAGGCGGGCGGGGGAGGCGGGGTGGAGAGGAGCAAACCGGGAGGGGCGGGCCGGCGCCCAGCACCGCCCTGAGCCCTCCGGGGCCCTTGCCCCTCGCCAGGCCCTGGCGCCCCGGGGTCCGAGTCCAGCTAGCTGGTCCGGCCGGCCTGGGAGAAGGAAGACCATAAACGGGAGGCCAGCGCGCGCTCCAAGCTCGGAACGCACCGCTCGGAGCGGCAAGCCCGGGAAGCCAGGCCCTCGGGGGCACCGGCCCCCTCGCCCCGCCAGCCTCCGGGCCCCAGGGCTGGTCCAGCTCCGCGGGAGGGGGAGAAGGGAGAGCCCCGGCCCCGTAGGGAGGAGCCTGTCTTGGGAAATTCCACTGGCCGGCAGAAGCTCGCCTCCAGGAGGGCAGGGAGGCCAGGGGCAGGGGCTCCTGGGGCGCTTGGAAACGGACCCCGGCGACGGCGACTCGCCCGTGTCTCGGCGCTCGGGCTCGGCTCTCCCAGGCCCGCCCGGGAGGGGGCGGCCGCCTTCCCCAGGCCCGCAGGCCGTGCGGAGACCCCCACCCCCCACCCCCACCCCCACTTCTCGGAGCCTGAGACCCTCCCCCCACGCACGCGCGCGGACACTCACCTGAGGCCATGCTGCCCGGGGCCCGCGGGGTCGGGAGGTTGCCCCGGGGGACCGCGGTCGCCGGGGAGCGGGGCGGGCCCGGGACCCAGACCCCGGCCAGGTCGCTCCGAGGACCCCTGCCCTGGCGCCGAGATGGATGGACTAAGAGGGTCTCCCCAGATTGCCCGGAGGCAGGACGCAGACCCGGGCCCACCCCGCCTCGAAGACCCCCGACCCCCCGCTCTGTGCTCAGAGGCGAGCAGCCCACGTGCTCCGCAGAGAGCAGGACCCGGAACTCGTCTGGGCTTCGCCGCACGCTCCGGGTGTTCAGGGTCGGACGGCCGTCGCGGGGCCCCGGGGGAGGCACGCAACAGGTGCGACCCCACCGCGGGCTCTCGGCGCCCCGAGCCTCCCGCCTCCCCGGGCCTCGCCGCTCGGCAGCCCCGCCCCCACGGACAGGCCCCGCCCCGAAGGCCCCGCCCCCGCCGCGTTCCGCTTCCCCGCGCCACGTGGGCGGCCGCCCCTCCGCAGTTGGCCCCGCTGGTCGGGGCGAGTCCTGGGCGTCAGCTTCCTCCTCCGCGACCTGGGTGGGGCGATCGCGCTCCAGGGAATCACTGTGAACGTGAAGTGTCAAGCACCTTTGCTCCGTGCCTGGCACAAAGTCGGTGGGCAATGAAAGGACTAGAATTGTCGCAAGATTCATTCACTTTTAGAAATCCTACCCTGGCATTCTCACTCTAGTTCCTGTTTTCTTCCCGCAGGAGCTGATAAGCAGGGTATGCCCTGCAACTCTGGCTCCCCTTCCCGAATTTACTTCTGTATTTATTGGTTAGAAGCTTAGACTCTATACCCAGAATGCCTGGGTTCAATTCCGTGCTCCGCCTACTTTGTGATTGACTTGGAAAAGTTAACTGGACTCTGTGCTCTATCTCTCCTGGAAAATGACTGTAAGAGACCCTGCTTTGTATGGTGTTAAGACAAATGAGTTCATGTAAGTTTAGTGCTTACTGGGTATTTACCCCAATGATACAAATGTAGGGATCCGACGGGGCTCCTGCACCCCAATGTTTATAGCAGCAATGTTCTCAATAGCTAACTATGAAAAGAGCCCAGATCTCCATCAACAGATGAATGGATAAAGAACATGTGATACATATATATACACAGTGGAATATTACTCAGCAAAAAAGAAAAAAAAGAAAAGAAATCTTGCCCATTGGCAATGAAGTGGCTGGAACTAGAGGATATCATGCTAAGCAAAATAAGTCAATCAGATAAAGATAATTATATGATCGCACTCATGTGGAATTTAATAAATAAAGCAGGATCATGGGGAAGAGAGGAAAAAATAGAAGATGAAATCAGAGAGGGAGACAAATGATAAGAGATAAGAGACTCTTAATCAGAGGAAACAAACCGAGGGCTGCTGGAGGGGAGGGGGTGTGGGGTGATTGGGGTAACTGTGTGATGGGCTTTAAGGAGGCCTGACTATAATGAGCACTGGGTGTTATATAAGACTGATGATTATATACCTCTGAAACCAGTAACACATTATATGTTAATCAAATTTAAATAAAAATTTAAATGTAAGTGCTTAGAACAGTGCCCGGCCTGTAGTTACTACTCAGTTAATATCTGTGTCTTATTCTTGCTATGACCTTGGCCTTGGTTCCCTGCTGACAGCCTCCAGTGGTGATGATCCTAGCACTTATAAAGAAGTGGAGCTGGGCTGTTTGGGGAGACTGCAGACACCCCACCCACCCCCATTTCCAGGTGACAGTGAATCCTACCTAAAGGGAACTTGCAGGGGAGCCCTAAGACTTCCCTGAACATAATTAAGTGTATTAACAGCAATTAATCTTTTTTCTATTCCTCCACCTTGTGGGAGCCTTTGTCCCCCACACCCAGTTGTACTAATGCTGTTTGTCCAGTTCCTCCCAGTTCTCACCACCCCCACAGCCAGATTCCTCCCCAAACTCTGCCTCCCCCAGCTTTCCCCAAGCTGGATTCTGGACCCTGAACCCAATTATCCATGCGTATCTGGTGTCACCTCTATTGATCTCTGCCTGCTGTTCCTCAGCTCTGGGCAAACTCAAAAAACCATGGCCTCCATACACATGGGGGTGGAGGAGTTCACCTCACAAAGAAGCAATAAAACCAGCCAGAGACCATGTTTACCCATCAAATTAACAAAGATTAAAAGGAAAAAAATCCTAATGCAGGCAAGAGTGTGGTGAGATGGGACACATACACACACTACTGTTGGACACCAACAGCGACATAATCTTTCTGAAAGCCATTTGCTTCATAACTAATCAAGAGTCTTTAAAAAGTTCTTATTATTCGATCCTGTAATTCCAGTTTCCTAGCAGGAAACTGTTCTGCTAAAAAGAGCTGCCAGAAAAATATGCACAAATTTGTTCATTACTGTAATGTTTATCACATAGAAAGGCTGGAAACATAAAGGTCCAACAATAGGAGGATGTTTAAATTTTGTCATATGCATGCAATGAAATACAACCATTAAAAATTATTCTTGGAGAATTTCATGAGGTGGAAATGTTTACAATGTAAAGTTGGGTTTAAAAAAAGGAATGTAAAAATCTGTACAGACAGTATGGGCCTAAATATGTGACATATATGCATAGAAAACAAACACACCAAAAAGTTTACAAATGATTATCTGTGGGTGGTAGAATTGAGAATTATTATTTTTTAAAAAATATTTTATTTATTTATTTATTCATTCATGAGAGACACACAGAAAGAGAGGCAGAGACATAGGCAGAGGGAGAAGCAGGTTCCATGCAGGAAGCCCGATGTGGGACTTGAACCTGGGTCTCCAGGGTCACACCCTAGGCTGAAGGCAGAAGCTTAACCGCTGGGCCACCCAGGCGTCCCTTATTTTTTTTTTTAAATTTTTATTTATTTATTCATAGAGACCGAGGGAGAGAGGCAGAGACACAGGCAGAGGGAGAAGCAGGCATCATATGGAGAGCCCCACGTGGGACTCGATCCAGGGCCTCCAGGATCACGCCCTGGGCTGCAGGCGGCTGCAGGCACGCACACACACTCGAGAGACCACAAACAGTGGAGAGGGAGAAGCAGGCTGCTCATTGTGCAGGAAGCCTGATGTGGGGCTCAATCCCAGGACCTGAGCTGAAGGCAGCCACTTAACCCATTGAGCCACCCAGGTGGCCCAGAATTGGGAATTATATTTATTTCCTTCTTTATACTTTATCTGCATTTTAAAAATTGCCTACAATCATATCCATTACTTTTATAATAAAGAGAATAGAAAAAAAAAAACCGTATCTGTAATAGGCTCCACCCTCCACCCCCAACAGACTCTCCTAGGTCTTAACCCCAAATTAAATCAGTCTTGGGATCTTTAGGAATTTTGAAGCCATTGGGCTCTCAACAATGAATAACAGAAAATTAAAGATCAGGCAGTAGGTAACCATGTAGAATGTCATCTGCGTTCTGACAAAATGCAAATTTTGACATAGTTTTAAGGGGTGGTATTTAAGCACTGAGCCAAGTCTCATTAGGATTCCCCCGAGTCAGACCTACCTACCTAACCAGCCCATAGGTGGCAATCCCTGCCCTCCACCTTACCCAGGCAAACCGGTTCACAAATCCCTTCAAGCTCCTCCCTAGTCCCATCTGCAACACACCCTCCACCCAGTACCCAGTAACCCTCCCCTATTTCAGGCCACTTGGTACGCCCTCCCTGCTAGGAAGTGTGTCCTGATTACAACAGCTACCCATCGATCTCCCCACCTACACAACACCAGCAAAAAAATCTCAGTGGGGTTCACTGTCTAGTAGAACAGTTTGGGAAATGAAGGAGTGAGTCATCCCCCTTGGCCTCCAGCGTCTTTCATGTTGGGTTCTTAATGTTTTCTTTGAGCCTCTGGGATCTTTCCTAGCTCTAAACACAGCTTCCTCTCCTCCTACCATATTCACCAGATGGTTCCTTAAATGGCCCTCCCTGAACCCCAGGGCCCCAGTCAAGTGTGCTCCTTAATTCTCTGAAGAACGCTTGCTTCTATTAGCCTCTGGCCTGCAGCCCATGCTGAGGTCAGCCTCCCCCCCGGGCCAGACTACTCTGCCCACACCGGACTGGGGAGGGAAGGCCGGCAGCCTCACCCAGATCCTCGGCCACAAGTTTCCCAAAACATCCCCTATGCCTAGATCCTTCTGGAACCACACTGCCCAGCTCCTGTGCCTCAGCTCTTCCAAGCAGCTGCCCCGTCACCCCCGACCTATCCGCCAACTGTCTAGTCACACACAGCTGTATCCACCTGTACTTATGTCTTCAAATGGTTTAGCCACGCCAACACCGAGGCCCTGGCTGGCTAGCCTCAATGCCTTTGCTGTCCTCTCCCCGGGGCTCAGTTCGCATCCCGTTTCTCAGTCTTCCCTGAGCACAGTTTGCGCCTTGGGCCTCCACGCCTTCTCTCGGGCTTTCCTCTCCCCAAAATGCCTTACCCCCGTTTCTATTGTTGTTCTGCTTCTCTGTTGAAAGTCTGTTCATTTTAGTAGCTCCCTCCTTTCTTCTACAGAAATTTTCAGTCTGACAGTTAAATGTGTGTGTAATTGTCTTTTCTACCAGGGGTGGAGGTTAGGTTCTAAACAGCTCAGAATTCTCCAGCACAGTGTTCCTTTAATTAAACGTTCTCTGTGAATTTGCCCCTCCTCTTCCTTTGGACTGGAAGGTCCTGAAGGCAGTTCCTCATTCATTTCACCCCCACTGCAGCCGGGATGAGGCATGAGGCAGGCATTTACCACAGTCTCCAGCACTGAGGGGAGAACCGATCCTGAGATCTCCCCTCGGCTAGGCAGGCAGGACCAAATTTGTTGGGAAATGGTGAGTCTTCTGTCAAACTGATTTGGCTATCAGGATTCCTGAGCTCTAGCTGATTCTGATACTAACCTGTTTCTTAGTGTGAGGATCATCTTTCTGAGCTGCTAAATGGGAACAGGACCTACATGCCTTCCCTATTCCACCAGGAACTCAAATGCAGTAACAAGGTACAACAGCTCAGGAAAAGCACAGGAGTTGAAGATGGAAGGCAAGAGGTCACTGGTGTCAAGATGGGTCAGCACACTTAGGGGCCAGGCGAGGGTCAGGAGCTCCCTTACTCAGCTTTAGTAGTGGGAGGGGAGCCCAGCAAACTAGGAAACAAGTAGAAGCAGCCCTGAAGTTTGCAGAGGTGGTGGCTGAAAAAGGAACAGCTTGGGATCCCTGGGTGGCTTAGCGGTTTAGCGCCTGCCTTCGGCCCAGGGCATGATCCTGGAGTCCTGGGATCGAGTTCCGCATCGAGTCCCGCATCGGGCTCCCTGCATGGAGCCTGCTTCTCCCTCTGCCTGTGTCTCTGCCCCCCACCTCTCATTCTGTGTCTCTCATGAATAAACAAATAAAATCTTAAAAAAAAAAAAAGGAACAGTTTGAACATTTTCCCTGCGTGTGGAACAAGTTAGTGGTTCCTTTAACAACGCAAGGGCTACTGTTATGCATTTGACTTTTTTTGTCCAAGTATTCTTTACTGGCTGCTTATGTCCAGGTGAGAGAAAGATCACCTGACTTGTCTGCTTATTATACTACATGACCTCGAACAAATTTCTGAACCCTCAAGTCTCAGTTATCTGGTCTGTAAACTGGGGACAGAGTACTTACCTTGAAGTTAGTGAGAATGAACTGAGAGGAGCCACATAACTTGTCTAGCAGTTCCTGGCAGTCCCCTGCTCTGAACAGAGGCAGCTTTGGCATAGCTCTGGCCTGCGTGTAGGCTACCAATATTGTGGGTAGGCTAGGGCAGGCCTGGGGAGGTATGATTACTCAAACTTTATAGCGAAGATTCCAAGACAGTCACAATTTCAAAGACACTCTCCTGTTTTCTCTTAAGTCGAGAAGCACTTGCCAAGTTCTGATTGGGAAAAACATGATCACTATGGAAGGCACCTTGGTGGCTACCTATTTCTCCATCAGCCCTGAGAGGCTGGGCTCAAAGCCCAGAGCTTCTCAGCCAGATACTCAGATATGCAACTGAAAGGTGGTAGAAGGAAGAAGATGCTCAGCAGTGGCTCAGGCCACCTAGAAGGTAGGAGATCCAGGTGCTACTGCCCCCTTTCTCCATCCGAGTGTATATGGGCCACTGCAGCACATTTCCACTCTAAAAGGAAAGGAGCACATTAAACCCTTCGAACTCAAGTTAAATCCTCAAGTCTTTGGATACACATTAGAATCACCTGGGGAAATTTGGATATCTTCATGTCCAGACTATATTCCAGATCAATTAGATCAGTAGGCTTTTTAAAGCTCCCTAGGTAAATTCCAAGTTACACCAAAAGTTGAGAACCACTATTCAAGATTTTTCTTTTCAAACTTGCCACATGATGATAATCACCTATATTGGCTTAAAATAGCTTCTCAGTCTCTGAAATTAGCACCATTACCGGAACATAGTATTTCTAAAACACACCTCCTTATTTTTTTTTAAGATTTTTATTTATTTATTCATGAGAGAGAGAGAGAGAGAGGCAGAGGGAGAAGCAGACTCCCTGTAGGGAGCCCAACATGGGACTCGATCCTGGGTCTCCAGGATCACGCCCTGGGCTGCAGGCGGCACTAAACTGCTGAGCCACCCGGGCTGCCCTAAAACGCACCTCTTTAATAACATACAGGGTATCTTAGTATCTTTGAAATCTGAGTGATTTTCCAATCAGTGATATTGAAGATTTTATGACACACAGAAATCAGTATCTCAGGTGATCCTCACAATTAGGCAGGTTTGAGTAAAAAACAGTTCCCTCTACTTTTTAGAGAAGCACTTTGCAAATTTTAACATCCTTAGAGTCACCTGTAATCCTGTTACAACACAGGTTCTGAATCAGAAGGTCTAGGTTAAGGCCTAAGATCCTGCATTTCTAAGAAGTTCCTAGTTGATCTGTGCTGGGCCAAGACCATTTTGTGTCACATTTTGGGTAGCAAAGTTCTGAAATGTCTTCTTCTGAGGAGGCTCCACCAGCAACTCATTTAATTAAACTGAAATAACTGGTATAGAGAAATACGACCAATGGAGAGAGTCTTCGATAGGTCTGAGAGGCAACTGCTGGACTGCACTCTAGCATTTCTCCCCAGGAAGGGGCAACTGGGATGAGGACCAGAGGGAGGGCCATCCCGACGTTTGCAAAGCCAGAGTCCAAGTTCCCAAGGAAGCAGTTTGTTATATGAGGCAACATAGATCCCCACTCTAAATGCCAGCAGAAGTTCACTCACCAACTGAAATTGGGCCTTTAGGTGGCTTTAGTGGGTTAAGGGGATGCAGTCCCATTCTCTGTACACATACCCCTTTTCCTTCATTTAGTCACCAAACCTTTACTGATGGTTCACTAACAAACCACAAGGTCTGAAGCATTCAAAGATGAATCAGATTTGGTCCCAGACCCGCAGGGGGAGGAATTCAGCCTGGGGGAAACCCATTTGTAAAGCAAAGTACAGTATGAAGTTATAAGTGCTATTAACAGAAGAAGCACATACAAAGAGATGAGCCAAGAGAAAGGATGATAAGAGCTTCCTAGTGCAGCAGTCACTGGAGGAAACATTTATAATCTTTCCAGGTAGGGCACCACCTTTAACAAAACCGCCTTTGCCAGAACCAGCCTGGTATGATGGAGAGGGTGCTCTGATGCCTTGAAGCCCTTGAAACCAAGACCCTAAAATCTGGAATCTCAGGATGGGCAGAGCTTCCTGCATTTATGTCTTTAATCTCTAGTGCTAAGATGCAAGTGAATCCCAGGAAGGGATTTTTAGGGGATCAGCCCCTCAAAAGGATGGGGCAACTCTGATCTCATTCCAGAGAGCTTCAGTTTCCCGCATCCTATCCTCCTGTGTCAGAATCCAGCAGATCATTTTCCTAGTTACATAAATACAAGTCTCTGCCCTTTGTCATACTGAGCTCTTAATTGGCTTTGCTCCGTCACATTGCTAGATATAAAGGCTACAATCCCTAGACTAAGTAGACCTCCAGCTGGGTAGGGAGTCTCGGCCAAGACAGGCAGGGTATAAGAACCTAGAGCCTGCTCCCTCACTGAGGCCCCTATAGACCAGCTTTTTAGGAGGACTACAAAAGGGATACTCATCCCATTTTATTTTTTCCTTATCTTCCATCTCACAGACAGGAAGCTCTAGAGAAGAAGCTTAAGGGCCAGAAGAAGCAGCTGAGGAGGAGACAGCAAAAAGATGGGGAGTGGAGTCAGTGCTGAGGACAAAGAACTGGCCAAGAGGTCCAAGGAGTTAGAAAAGAAGCTGCAGGAGGATGCTGACAAGGAAGCCAAGACTGTCAAGCTGCTATTGCTGGGTGAGCAAGATGGGAAGATGAGCCAGAGAAGGAGAAGGTACTGCTCCTTCCTGCTTATCCTGGATGGTAGGTGGGTCTTAGCCCACCCATGGAGAGGGGAGGGATGGCAGGTCATTTTTCCTTTCCCCATCAGGTCTTGGTCTAGGGAATCAGGGCTCTAGGGCTGAGCGCAGCCACCCCAAAGAGGTGCAGAATGCCAAAGCTACCCTGGAATTGTTCTGCTCTTCCTTGAACCAGAATTAGCGCAAGGGCTGGGGCAGACCTATCCATCTCTAAATCTAACCAAACCTAACAATTCACAGCTTGGCAAATACCGTGAACCCTAGGCTTGCAGACAGTTACCGAATCTCCAGTCAGAGCTCTGAGTCAAGGACTCAGAAGTCCTACCATATAATCAGTGCCATGTAGTCCCAGGGACAGGCTCACTGCTTTGTGCCAAGCAAACTGGTTCCTTCTCTTTGCTTCCAGTACACAATTCATATAAATTTTAGAACTAGGGAGCCTGAGGGAGGAGGAATAGAGTCTTTACGGCAGTCCTTTCCTGGCTTTCTGTTGAGTAGTTGCCCTCAGAGCCCCTGCCAGATGGGAGGTCCATCAACATGATGAGCTCCTAAGCAGATCACAGGTCTGTGCTGAAAAAAGAAAAACACTTCTATTGGTCAGAGTAAGTGGTCACAGCTGTAAATAGAACCAAGACAATGAAGAGTTTGGGACACCTGCCTTAGAGGTAAAAACTCCAATGGTAGTACAGAGGTAGGCAAGTTGGAGCAGGTGGGGTCTGTGCAGCAGCAGGTTAGCTGGCTCGGCTATTTTGAACCCATTGCACCTCCTCTTCCCCAGCTGATCTGTGAGCATACCACTGTAAGCTGGAACCAGACTCCAAGGAGCCCAAGAACCTACAGAAGGGGAAAGAGATGGCAAGGCCACTGAGAGATCTTTTAAGCCTAAGCAGCTTTCTTCCACATTCAGGATAAGCAGCTTAGAGGGAACAAGCAAGCACAGGTTAAGTGGGAGGGGGTTAACGTATCAGGGCAGTGCAGACAGGGGGAGAGGGTTGAAGGGCATATGGAGGGGGAGCGGAGTGCGAATGAGAGGATGGTAGGGCATTTTAGCCAATAAAGGAAAAAGCAAGATGATAAAAAAATAATATTTCAGTGAAATCTGCAATACTGCTCCAAGATCACTCTCCTGAGTAAAAATAGAAGAAAAGTATTAAAGGAATTCCCTTGAATCTATCAGTGGTTCTCAATGAAATTTTGCCATCACTCCCTGCACCTCCTTGGGACACTGGGAAATGTCTAGAGACGTTTTTAGTTGTCACAGTAGGAAGGGAAGAGTGCTGCTAGCCTCCAGCGGGTAGAGGCCGGGAATGCTTGCTAAACACCCTACGATGCACAGGACAGTCCCCCACAAAAAAGAATTGCCCAGCCCAAAATGTCAACAGTCCCGAGGCTGAGAAACTCTGCTTTAAATCCATACTGAATGGCCTGAGCTCAAGGTGGTCAGAAATTGAGGGCAGAAATCAACCCTATGTGTTCTCCCCTAACAAGGCTCCCAAGCAAGTTCTAGCTTGGACTTCTCACAGGCCATCTACTGGAGGGTTGGGGAGAACTGGTGGAAATCTGAAGCATAAGCATTTCTCCCTGCAGGTGCTGGTGAGTCAGGAAAGAGCACTATCGTCAAACAGATGAAGTGAGTAGGAAAAAAGCCCCAGAGGACTGAGGTAGGGTGAAGTCAGAAGAGCCCATAGAAGCATGGAGGATGAAGGGCTCTTCGGCCTCAAGGAACCCAGATGTAAAGGATATAAAGAACCTGATCTCCAATGTCCCTCATCTATATGCCCTTTTCTCCTCACTCTTCACTTTGGGACAGCCATAGGCATAGAAATTGGGTTCTCATGACCCTTTAAATCCTTCCAGATCCCCAATCCCTTAGGTCTGGTTATTCAGGTCCATTTAAGGGCTGGGTGTCTACTCCTTGCAGGATCATCCATCAGGATGGCTATTCACCAGAGGAGTGCCTGGAGTATAAGGCCATTATCTATGGGAATGTGCTGCAGTCCATTCTGGCTATCATCCGGGCCATGTCCACACTGGGTATTGACTATGCTGAACCAAGCTGTGCGGTAGGTGGTTAACAGTATGTGGTTAAGGGTGGGAGGAAAAGCTAATGAGAAGAAACAGCAGCCAACAAGCTATGAGGAAACATGGGCCAAAAAAAGTTTCATGTAACTAAATCCCACCTACTGAGTTTCCAGTTTTTACTTCAGTTCTGGAAAAGTGTGCAATCCCTACCTTACAACAAATTACAAAAATCTCCTTTCAGCTTCCTCTGCCTTTTTGTCTTATTTTACCATTTAAATTGCTCTCCTTGGGCTCCCTACCCTGGCCATGGAACTTTTACAAGCTAAATCCCTAGTTCCAGTATTGGCCTTTTCCTAAATTGGAACCACAGAGAGACCAAAGGTGATGGTTTCTTGTCTCCCATGTTGTCTATTTCATGGTCAATCTGGTTTTTAAACTTCCAACCTTACTGTAGCGGAAGACCCACATTTTGTGGCAGTACCCTTTTAGACTAAGGCTAGAAGGTAGAAACACCAAAGAGGAAGCCCCTGGAACCTCTGTTTTCCCCTAAGCATCCCAGGACTGGATAAATTACCACCTTCTATATACCCGAAGCACATTCAAAATTATCAGTGTTTTCTTAGCATCTCCATCTTAGGCTTCAGTAGCAATGCAAAATGCGTTCCTTTCAGCAGTAGTCCCAGGAGCCTCCTGGAAAGCCATTACTCCTGTGCAGTTCTCAGCCAGGTCTCTGCCTTACAGGATTCTGGGCGACAGCTCAACAACCTGGCTGACTCTATTGAGGAAGGCACCATGCCTCCCGAGCTGGTGGAGGTCATCGGGAAGTTGTGGAAGGATGGTGGGGTGCAAGCCTGCTTCGACCGAGCTGCAGAGTACCAGCTCAATGATTCAGCATCTTAGTAAGACTCTGGGGAAGGGGTGGGATGAGGCGTAAGCAACCAGGATTTCCAAGAGAAATCACACCCAGCCTAAAATTTCAGGCACTGAAAGCTGGAATCCCAAGGACTGAATTCAGCCTGGATTCCTGTTTAGGCTTGAGCAGTGTTCTACTATTCTTTGAATGTGATGCCCTTAGACGGACACTGCCATAGCTGTCACACTCTGTATTGCTTTACGCTGGCTCACTGCAGCCTACAGAACTGAAGACCCCCAAAATTCAATAGAAGGTGCTCTGTTTAGTAGCCGTCAGACTGCTGTCCTCTTCATTAATTCATACACATAGCCTGTCCTTTAGAACCATGAATGCGAAGACCGACCTGCAGTCCTGCCACATGTTCTCCCAGGAGGCGCATGATTCGTGATGACCTTTCCAGGGTGGAATTTTCTAGCTGGTAATCTAGGCTCTACTTAGGCCACTAACCAGAAACGAAAGCCTCCTTCACCCACAGCATCTCATGTCAGGGGGCCAGGGCACGGGACAGACATTTTCAGGGCAAATGAAAGGAAGTCGGTCAGGGGATTGAAAAGAAGCAACTTTGCAAGGCTGGTTCCAAAATGGTAAGGTACACAGATGCACGTCAAGTCTACCTCTAACAATGTGGTCTCTATCCTAGATGGGCAGGAACTTTGCAGTCAAACAGACTTGGATTCAACCCCTCTTCTGTCACCTAATTCTGTAGTACAGTGATCATCTACCACCCACAGAGCACTACTCACCAAGGCCAAGGCACCACCAGGTGCACTAGGTACACCATCTCATTTGGTCTGCCCAGTGAACCTTTGAGATACAGTAATTATTAGTCCCATTTATAGATGAAAAACTGAGGTTCAGAGAGATTAATTAATTTGCCCAAAGTCATATTGATAGATGGCAGCAGCTGGATTTGAATCCAGTTCTATTTGACCACTAAGCTGAAGGCTTTTTAGAATATATCACAATGCCTCTTGGCCTTGGACAAGTCATTTAACTGTTCTGAATTTTCCTTCATCTGTAAAACGGGATATGAAATTAGGAAAGTGTATGAGGTTAAATGACCATTTAAAGGTGCAAATGCCTGACATACAGTAGGCACTTGTCAGTTTTCCTTCCCTTTTTCTGTCATCTCACTTCATATTGCCTTCCTGTCTTTTTAAATTTTTTTTATGGTAACTGTCAAACATATAAGAAAGCAGAATATAGTGAATCACCTGGCTTCAACAGTTAACAACTCATGGCCATGCTTGTTTCATTGTACTTTCATCTCCCACTGGATTATTTTGAACGAAGTCCCAAATATCCAAATATCCTATCATTACACCCTAAAAATTTCATTATGGATCTCAAAAAAAAAAAAAAAAAGAGGCCCGTTAAAAAAAAATTGTAACATAATCATCACACCTGAATATTTAATAATTCCTTAATATCATCAAATATCCAAGCAAGTGCTCATTTAAGTTTCCCCAGTTATCTCAAATGTTTGCTCCCCAACTTGATTCAGGATATAAATTAGGTTGATACACTGCACCAACTGACACCTCTTAATGTCTCTGATGTCTTTTAGTCTATTCTTAGGTCTTCACGGAACTTTTGGCACCCATTTAAACCACCAAATCTCACTGAGGGTCTAGAAAACCTTGTAGTCATGCAAAACTTAAGGAAAAATTACCTGAGTTGACTTATATGGGCTAGAACCCCATGCCTCTCAGCCCATCCCACACTCCCTTTCATAAGGACACAAGGGGATCTGAAGGGAAGAACCCTAGGTTTAACAATATGGATTCTAGTCTTGATTCCATCACCGAGTTAGTTGTGTAGCTTTGGGTAAGACCCTCTACCTTTCTTGGCAGTGGCTGTGGAAAGTTTAATGTCATCAATTCCAAGCTCTCTTCTCTAGCTACCTGAACCAATTAGACCGGATTACAGCCCCTGACTACCTCCCTAATGAGCAAGATGTGCTTCGATCCAGAGTCAAAACAACTGGCATCATTGAGACCAAGTTTTCTGTCAAAGACTTGAATTTCAGGTGAGTACACAGTTCCCTAGGGCACTGCAGATACACACATGGCTCCTGGGGACACCTCAGATACCAAAAAAGGGCAAGGGCATGCTTCTTGGCCTTTACTAAAGCCCAATCTGAATGACTATCCTATTTCTCCCCCTTTCCCATCTCACTGCCAAATGGCCCCAAAGTGGCCACCTCTCTAGAGCATGTGCTGTTTTTTTCCCTCAGGATGTTTGACGTGGGAGGGCAAAGATCAGAGAGAAAGAAGTGGATACACTGCTTTGAGGGAGTCACTTGCATCATTTTCTGTGCAGCCCTCAGTGCCTATGATATGGTGCTAGTGGAAGACGACGAAGTAGTAAGTGGCCTTTGCACCAAGCAACTTTTGAGAGTTCCCCCGTGATCCTTCCTCTAAGCTTTATGTCACCAATTCTTCAACTTGGCTGCTTTCAAGACAGTCTAGCAGTCCTCTAGCACACAATTCAACGTCTCAGGCAGTAATTCTAGAAAAAACTCCTTTACAGGTTCCAGGTTAGCACTTTAGAGCTCCAAATTTACTGAGTGAGCTTGGTCTCAGATTTAGACATCCAATAATCACTTGGACATCACAGAGCTTACAAGAGGAACTGAGTATTAAGGGGACAAGGAAACACAACTGGATTCGCAAAGCACAGGAGTTACACTTAGGACTTTCCCAGGCTGCCTACGGAAATAAAGGATAGGAGATGAAAATGATAGAGCAGAAAAATAACGTATGATGTGTATCTTTGTGCAACATGATAGAGGGGTTGGACTAACCTCACTTGGAAGCCTAAATATGTACTGTCAACAGGACTAAGGAGAAACTGGCAAACCAGATTTCTCACATGCCACTTAAATTGGCAGGTGGAAGACTACCTGAGGCTGAGTCTCTTGAGCCCGCAGAGCTTAATCTGCATGCCAAGTGTCAGCCCAGCCAATTACCTTTGGAGTTTGAGACAGGGTATCAGGCATGGAAAAATGCTAATGGAGGCCCAGCTCACCGATTCAGGTGAGCTTTTCAAACAAAGCTACTACACTACTACAAAGCTACTACACTCCCATCTCTTGCTTCAGTTCTCCCTTCTCCCTGGTAGTTCAAGTTCACATTAGAGCTCTAAGAATTTGAGCTCTAGCCAAATTTGATTTTTTCAAGATCTCTTCTGTCTTTAACCCAAAGTCTATGAGGTTTTAAGGGATTCTGCAGGAGTATTAGCAATGACAAAAGCCACAAAAAGTTGATTTCTTTAATTAGATGAAAAGATTGAGCACAAGTCAACTGACAGAATACTTCAAACCCTCAAGGCCTGCTCCTTGAAAATAGGCTGGTCTGGGGCACTTGGCAACACCTAGACTCTCAGATACACAGCACCACTCCTCACTCACTCAAAGTTCCAATCACATGAGGAAATAAGACAGAAGTACTTGTGGTGCAGCACTGAGAAATTCTCTGGCCTTTACCATTTGACACCAAGGCAATAGTCCCTATTATGTTCCTGCCCAAACTGAGATCCAGGACTCTTTAACAGAAGCCTATCAAAATCATCCTGGAGACACAAATGGGAACATGATAACTCAAGCCTAGTTTCAACCCTGTATCAGCAGGACTTACAGATGTCGAAGTCCCTCACAGTACCCCAGCAGCCTAAGATCAGCGTAACAGTTACTGTACACTTATACGCCAACCACTGTCATGGACACTACATACTTGATCTCATTGAACTTCCATAATAACCCTAAGAGATAGGGAAACTGAAATTCAGAAAAGCTCAGTAATCTGTCCCAATGACAGAAAGAGGATTAGAAGAGCAGCTATATCTCTTTGGTTCTATCCCACCCACCAAAAGGAGATAAGCTGTTCCCCAACATCCCTCTTACATTCAGAGCACTAATCTCTCCAAGGGGAAGAACAGGAAGTAGACACTACCCTGTTAGCTCAGTCTGAAATCTCTGATGGTGTTTCCTCCTACTAGAATCGTATGCATGAGTCATTGCACCTCTTCAACAGCATATGTAACCACAAGTTCTTTGCGGCCACTTCTATTGTCCTCTTTCTCAACAAGAAGGACCTCTTTGAGGAAAAAATCAAGAAAGTCCATCTCAGCATTTGTTTTCCAGAGTATGATGGTAAGTCTCAAGCCCTGGAGACAACGGTAATGCTTGCTTGGTAATGACTGGTGATTGCCTCATTTCCTATACCAAAGATACATAAAGGAACCTGTCTTTAAGAAGTACTAAGTGTATAACTCCTTTGCTTGGCTGGGTTGATGATCCCTTATCCCTTAATACTCAGTTCCTCTTATGAGCTTTGTGATGTCCAAGTGATACTTGGATGTCTAATCTGAGAAACCTGGGTATTTGGTCATAGGTTTAAATTCAGATGCCCCTGGAACAGAACAGATGTCAGATGCAGGAGAGCCACTGACTGTTCAAAGGATATCTACCAGAAATCAAGGGTGGGGACACAAAGATCCCTCTCCTCAATTTTGTTGTTCAACTCAAGTGATAAACACCGGAGTGCAAAAGAGGAGAGGATCCTCCCTCCAAAAACAGGCCCCCAACTGCAGCTGTCCAATACATTTTGAGGGTCAAATTGGTCACCTAAAAAGTAAGTACGTAGCTAAGAAGGGTTAATTTATCCCACTTCTTCACTATTTTTTCTGGAAAACCAGGAAACAACTCTTTTGAAGATGCAGGGAATTACATCAAGAGTCAGTTCCTTGACCTCAACATGCGAAAAGATGTCAAAGAAATCTACAGTCACATGACATGTGCTACAGACACACAGAATGTCAAATTTGTATTTGATGCAGTTACAGATATTATCATCAAAGAAAATCTCAAGGACTGCGGGCTCTTCTAATCCTCATCACTCCTCTTGGAACATCCATAAACAGGCTTGGAATCTGGCTAATTTCAAGCAGAAAAATCATAGGTCAGCATACCATGGCATGAAGAAAGATTCCATTCTCCCTTAGAGATGGACTTCTACATGATTGCAACTGTGTCCCATACATTCTTTTTTTTTTTTTAATTTTTTTAAAATTTATTTATGATAGCTACAGAGAGAGAGAGAGAGAGAGGCAGAGACACAGGCAGAGGGAGAAGCAGGCTCCATGCACCGGGAGCCCGACGTGGGATTCGATCCCGGGTCTCCAGGATCGCGCCCTGGGCCAAAGGCAGGTGCCAAACCGATGCGCCACCCAGGGATCCCTCCCATACATTCTTTTCAAAGTGGGATAGCTAGTGCAGTTTAAAGAACACAAGGCCAGAAGTCAAAGACCCAGTATAACTTACTAAAAGGTATAAATATTTCATTTCTCTGAGCCTTGAGTCACTCATCTATAAATGAAGATAACTTCTCTAATACTTCACAGGGTTACTCTAATGATCACAAACATAAAATGAAGGGAAGGAACATAAAAGCTGTGTGGTTAGAGTCACAGAAAGAAATCCTATATAAAAGCAGCCATTTATGAAATTCAAGACTAAGTTTTTAGATGAGCTATCCTAAAGAAAGCAACAAACCTTCCCTACGTTCTGCAAAAGAAAACAATTAAAAACAAGACCTCAGTAAATCTACCACTGTTTTTTACTAACAAACCTTAGCTCAGAGATCTGAATCACTGGATAGGAGATGTGAGTTTATGTTAATTTCTAAGGTACACATCCAAAACTGATCATCTTTATTAAGCAGACTATCGCTTTGCCCCCACAATTGCCATAAAGACTGAGTTTCCTAATTTATCTCTGTAAGTAACTGTGTCAGGTATATAAGACACTTTTTTTTTTTTTTAAGTAGGCTCCATGCCATGCATGGAGCCCAGTGTGGGGCTTGAACTCATGACCCTGAGATCAAGACCTGAGCTGAGATCAAGAGTCAGACACTTAATAGACTGAGCCACTCAGGTGCCCTTCAGATATATGACACTTTCTGAATAAACTTAGAAGATTTCAACACACTTTCACTTGGAGTATTAATGATTTTATTGCTACCACTTCTCAATCACAGAATTTTTTTTTTTGTTAAGTGTACTTATTTAAGCAATCTCTACACTTAACATGGGACTCAAACTCACAACCCTGAGATCGAGAGCTGCATGCTCTACCAACTGAGCCAGCCAGGGACCCCTCAATCACAGAATTTAGAATAAGCAAAGCTAGAATTTGCATTTTAACTGCTACATGTTTCAGAACAAAAAGGCAGCTGATCTTGCTTTAGGCACTAAAAATCTTTGCAGTTGAATCCATGGGAAGCATGGCTGAAAACAACATCTCCCTCATACAGGACAAGTAAAAATTATTTCTTTTAACTACTCTGAGGGGAAAAGAAGCTTCCATTTATCTTGACAGGAAGTGCTGAAGTCGAGTACAGATTTAGCACTTACAACTACTATGAGGAAACCTCGTGGCATCCAAGATTTAGTATATAAAAGAAAGTGTCAATTAAAATGAAAATCTGTTCTTTGCCAGAAACGCACATTCACACTTAGGCTGCTACTAGCAATATTGATACTAGAGAGCCATATGAGCTTGAAATACACTTAAGAATAAATTTGCAGCTGTTAAAATTGGATTCATTTAATAGTCTTTGTGATTCCATGAAAAGAAATCAACTTGAGAGAATTACCAGAGAAATAAGGAAAAGTACTCTGACTACTGCTCATTAAAAATCTTCACCAAAGAAAAAACCTGGGCAAGATTTCATGCATCCAAGAGCTGTTCAGGGACTACATTCTAAATGGCATATTCCAATTACCACTAACCTCCTTAACTCACTATACAGGGGTTATAATTCTTTTTTTATCATGGATCCTTCTAACAGTCTGACAAAACCTATGGACCTCTTCTCAGAATATTTAAAAATGCATAAAATAAAATTCAGAGAATTACAAGGGAAACCAACATACAGGAATACAGCTTTATCTTTGGAGCCCGAAAGCCCCAGGTTAAGAATCCTCACTATAGCTAAGATCTTGTCTGTTCAGGCCCCAAAACTAATGTATCCACTTATTCCATCTTCTAATAGGATAACCCAACCTCCCCACAAATTGTACCAGATTGTTTGCTTTTTTCATTATCTTTTCCTTGATCTTTGACTCCAGGCAGGACTTGGTGATAGGCCAAAATATAAAAGCCCATCCCAGGCTTCTTGGTTATGGATGTTCATATAGAACCAGCCTTACAATCCTAGCACAAAAACAGTCAGCAAGTGGACCTGGTCTTCTGGCATTCTACTCACTCTTTTATTTTGCGCTTTTGTTTCATTTTAAATTTATACTATAGTGTCAATCTTATGCATCATCAGAAATTCTTTTTCGTAACAAGGTAGGTTAAGAAGCAGTTCAACCCTATTTTCATGAACCATAATCTTAATTCTTAGAATGATAAAACTCAAAGGAATTTTAAAATAGTTCAGATGCTGGACTATTCACTAGCAATTTATAGGTAAGAAACTGAGGCCCAGGGAGGTGGAATGCCTTCGTCCAGATCAAACTACTAGAGGGCAGCCCAGGTGGCTCAGCGGTTTAGTGCTGCCTTCAGCCCAGGGCGTGATCCTGGAGTCCTGGGATTGAGTTCCACATCGGGCTCCCTGCATGGAGCCTGCTTCTCCCTCTCCCTGTGTCTCTGCCTCTGCTGTGTGTGTGTGTGTGTGTCTCTCATGAATAAATAAATAAAATCTTAAAATATATATATATATATATATATATATATATATATATATATATATATCAATATCAAACTGCTAGAAAGTAGGAGAATTAGAACTCCAAAAAAGGTCTTCCAAATCGCACACCAGTGTTCTATATATGCACCATGCTACTTTAAGTCCACCATATACTATATAAAGTCCAAGTCAATTTTCTCATTTCCCTAAGCTCCTCCCATTCCCAAATTCTTGTTTTTAAATTATGCCATCTCTAAATCATAGATATTTAACAGTATTATCTCCAAAATGAATACAAATCAGTCTCAAATTTGAATGTGAATTTAGCATAAAATAACAAAAACATAAGCTTTAAATTTGTTTGTTGAAGGTATAATTAATTTTCTGTTCATATGTTCAGAGGGCAGAGATCTGAATGCAGTTCCCTTGCAGTACATTAGACACTGATGACAGTACGCCAGATGTGAATTATGTTACACTCGTGAATCTGGTGACAATTATCCTTTCTTTTTTTTTTACAAAAGTACAGTATGATTAACACAAAAGGACAAATATTGTATGATTCTACTTATATGAGGTATCATATCACAGTAGTCAAATTTACAAAGACAAAGTAGAGTGATGGTTATCAGGACCGGGAGGAGGCGGAATGGGGAGTTAGTGTTTAATGGGTAGAGTTTCAGTTTGGAAAGGTGAAAAAAGTTCTGGAGATAGATGGTGGGTGACGGCTGTGCCACAATGCGAATATACTTCAGACCACTGAACTATGTACTTAAAAATTATTAAGATGGTAAAGTTTATGTTATGTATGGTTTACCACAATAAAAAAAATAGTGGAAAAATATAATTGGAAATGTGCTTTTATGTTGTTGATAAAAGCAGCAAAAAAATTTAGTCTTAAAAGCAATATAAAAGACATTTACTTCTAACAATTCCTACTTGGATAAAAATTTCACTTACATGTACCCCAAATAGTCCAAATCAGGGTAGCCCAATCCCCAAGGTAAAAACTAACAGCATTCAAAACCCACTCTATAATTGGAGATGTGCCGTAGACCATAGTGTGCCGGCCATGCTGGGTGGAGAAGGTGGTGAAGGGTGAAGAGCTCTTACCTCCCACTGCCCTCTCTACCCGGCACAGCCCCCGGAGCACAGATTCCAGTAGGACTTCAGTGTTGGCCCAGAGCCTGCAAGTGTGCCACAGCCACTGGTGTTCCTGCTAGGTAAAAGGATGAGGACATTTCTGTGAGGTCAAACAGACACAGTGCAGACTGCAGAAGGGAAAGTTTCTGCCTTTTGGTCAAAAGAGAAAGTAAGCACTGGTATGAACAGAAATAACTGGATTTAAACACAAAACAAAGACCTTTCTTTTCACCCAGCTTGACAAAATTTAGAGCCACTTATAGTTAAACTTCATTTCAGGTGTTCAAAATGAATATGGGAAAAGTGATGCTGAGAACACAGCCCCCTACAATGAATACATCTCCTGGTATTATCTTAAAAGATGACTTGTTTTGCTGTAATGTATAATCTTGAGTATCATAAAGGATATCTACAAAGCACTTTTAAATGTTATTTCAATTGGATCGGAACCAAAGCACCTCATAGCTGGAAGGAATAATTTAGTGTACCTCTAGGTAACAGATGAGGATTTTAGAAGACAAAGATTTCATAGCTGTTTGGAAGCAAGGAAAAGACGAGAACTAGGTGTGACAAAGAGCTCTCCATAAGATTCTAAAAGGTCTCAGGACCTTTACACCCCATGAGCAAAGATGAAGAGTTAAAAAGAACAGGTAATTTCTTGTGTTTTGTTACGTCTGCTAGGAATCACTCTTACATTTAAACCAGCCTCTACGTAAAAAATGTTTGGATAATCCAAAGGAATATGGGGGCAAGAGCCAGGTAGTAGAGAACAGGAGACAGATAAACCACATTGTACAGAATTTAATATTCCATCTGTCAAAGATCTTAAATCTGGATGCTAAAACATTGAGATGGTGTATCCCAACAGCGTATTTACTAGTACTGGATTATTTCTGCTACTACCTTGTTGATTCCCACTAAATTTCAGGAAAACATTAGCAGAGAGCACACAAAGATTTTTCTATTCAACTCCTCATTCGCCTTCCATACCCCTTCCCCAGCCTTTTCTCAAAAAGACTTCCCAGTCTGCTCTTTACCCACCAACTGTAAATGAATATTCATATTATTACATATATATAGTTAGACCTCTGTCACAGGATTTTATCTTTACTTTGATGTATCTTTCAATTTTCACTGAATAAATGCAGTAACACAAATGAACCAAATGTTTGGAAACTTTAAGTTTCTTGTTTTGTCTTAATTTATATAAAAACTAAATACTCTGTATCAGAAGTGTAGGAATGTTCTTTGACTAAACAGTTCTCATACTAATTTTTTTGGTGAAAGGCACTCTAAGGTCACATAAAAAAGATGCTTCTTCTTTATTGGTAAATAAAATATGCCTCATTTACTAGTGACTTTATGGTTACATGTCTGTGTTGATCTTTTTTCTCTCAAAGATTTATTTATTTACTTATTTATTTTCATTTATTTATTAAGGGGGGCAGTATGAGTGGGAGGAGCAAAGGGGGTGAGAGAATCTCAGGCAGACTGAGAAGGACTCAATCTCTGGACCCTGAGACCATGACCTGAGCTGAAACCAAGAGTCAGACACTTAAGACTGAGCCACCCAGGCGCCCCTATTTGTGTTGATTTTTAACACTAGGTCCTATTCAGTCATCTGCAAATGTTGGCCCAGGTTGGCTTCATCAGAACCACATAGGGAATTTATCTAAAATACATGTTCCCAGGATCTGTCTCCAACATCTCCATTTAGTACAGTTTAGCCAGGGGATCTATACATGTTAATCTTGCACCTCAGGTCTCTGCTGTTATTATAACCTTCTGTATTCTCTCTCATTCCTAAGAAAACTTCAGTAAAGCCAGGTAGGTAAGCCTGACACAGTATCAGAAAAAAAACTGTCGGGATCCCTGGGTGGCGCAGTGGTTTGGCGCCTGCCTTTGGCCCAGGGCGCGATCCTGGAGACCCGGGATCGAATCCCACGTCAGGCTCCCAGTGCATGGAGCCTGCTTCTCCCTCTGCCTGTGTCTCTGCCTTCTGCCTCTTTCTCTCTCTCTCTCTCTATCATAAATAAATAAAAATTAAAAAAAAAAGAAAAAAAACTGTCCTGTCCTAACTTTTCTGGAGTATGTTCTCCTAGCAGAGGTAACTCATATAAGTTATGAGGAAATGGGGGGAGGATAGTTAAAAACTAACCAAAGGTAAAGGAACAAAGATCTTGACCATCCAGGAAGTCTGTTCCCCAGTGCCTCACCTACACCTTTTACTTCCTGATAGATGACAGTAAAACTAACTTTCAATTTCAGGCCTCAATGCAGCCTGGTGTTCTCTTGTGCTTAGATGACAATACAGCTATGTGGAGAGCCATGACTGGTCCAGGTGAGAACTCTGGCTTGTACTATGAAGCATGAAGAACAGAAAGATGACCTGGTAGTACTGGGAAACTGAAGTTACTTTGTTCTTAAAATCGGTATAAGATATGAAAGATTTCACAAGCAGTAAGAATGAAGAAAATTTGTGCTTTGCTAGGTATGTTTAAATGAGTAGAAGATTGGTTTTTTGAACATCTGGAAAGGGAAAAACATCAACCAAAGGGATGTTTTTAATTGGACTGAAAGACTAACTTTACCTTATAGGTAGCAGCCAATACAGCAACTAGCTCTGCAAAAGGACACTCCAGAACTATGCTAAACAAATGTGTGTATATATATATGAAGTAACTAGTCAGGCTAGGCAAGCAATGTCCAAATAGAGTCACAGCTACAAATCAGACAACAGTGGCCAGGATATAAGAATATAAGGTGGGCAAATAAATTAGAAGAACCAGCAGTTATTTTTACATGCTCTAAAATGTGCATGTAATAAAACACAGAAGAACACGTAAGAGTAAGAAACAAGGCAAGAAGATAGTTTTTAAATTTGGTCCATCTATTCTTAGAATGCAGCACCTTGTAAAAAATAACAATCCATTACTGGAAATAATAATAAAATGATACACTGAACTAAAGATTTAGAATTCAAACTATCCAAAATGAAATGTCACCCCAAAATCCACTATATAAGAATAACTGTAAAAGTCCTTGGAATTTTCATACCAGGAGGTGAAATCTGTTGCAAGTCTTGAACTTATATGCATAGTTGAGGAAGACTGGCTATTAAGAATACTTCCTCTTTACCTTCAGCCTAATGAATGGTATTTTTTTACGGCCCAAGATTTTAATCAGGTGAAGATGTGACTGTCAACAAAATAAAGCTATTGCTGCAGTCCTTCATACTTGGGTCTATTTACTGTTCTTTATTCATTAAAATTTAATTTTCTTATATATGCTGGTTTCTTAGATGGTCCAGAGCCTGGCCACATGAATACTGAAATGTGGTCCATCACAAACCTCCAGCATTCTCCAGAGAAAACACACAAGGCAAGTTTTAATTTCTTTGATTACAAATATCAATCCTTTTTCTCCAGGCTAGTACACGTTTCTTCACCCCCGCACGCTGACTCTCCTATTAGAAAACATCTTTTATTTCAAAATACAACAGTGATTTGCAAAGCCGATAACCAGAATCACTTTTTAAAAATTATAGATCACTAGCCCACCAGCCAAGAGTTAATCGCTGAGATGGATCCTGATGATTTTGACTTAAGGCATATTTGAAAACCACTGGCTCGAATTGTGTTCCTGTATCCTCAAAGACTGTGCATTTAAATAAGTTATATGGACTGTAGGGTAGAGGGTGATCTTCATGTAAATATAGAACAAAGGTAAATGGTATAAAGGCAGAATAGTGGAGAGCTATTTTTCATTAACATTAAAAGCTAAAAAATGAACATATCAGACAAATGTATTCAAATGAAATTACAAAGTACATTTCAAAATATAATGAACTTACTTAAATTATTTGTTATTTTGGATTATCAAAACACCATTCTATTAGCCCTGACTATATAAAGACTATGGTTAAAACAATATTCCACTAGTTCTCATTTCCAGATGATCTATCACAGGATACAGTAGGAAAAGATATATTCAAAGTGAACAGGAACTATCAACTTATGTGTGCATAAGTTAATCACCAATTGGAGCTGATCATTTTTAGATCCAATTTTCCCAACCCTAAAAAAAAAAGAACTGTTTAGATAATAACAGTTATACCATCTACATAGTTATACTTTCCCAAAAAAGAATAAAAATTCCAATAAAGGCACTGAACTGCTGTGGCTTGCTTTCTGAACCAGCTTTGATGATCAACTTTTTTTTTTTTTTTAAACTAGTAAAAGGTCACTCAAAGATGACACAGAATCCAATCCAAAAAGACTGGACCCCAAAAGGCACTGCTCAAACTGCTGATGTGGAATGTTCAAAATACATTCTCTTCATCTGCCTTCCCCCAAAGGCCCATTCAATATTTAAGGACATTTGCTGTACATTATACAAAAGGACCTGCAGGCTGATGTGAATAAAACTCTCCACAAAACCAAAATGTAAACCTGGAAAATGGATTATGACTACAGGTCACTTACACAGATGGGACATAAGACCCTCAGTCAGGCCATGATTCAACAATACTATTACACCAAAGACTAGCCTAGCCCTTCAGGGAACCCTCCACCTACACCCATTCTGAGACAAAGGCCAAAGCACATTTAGCAGGGACAAAAAGAAACAAGAAAATATTTCCAGAAAGGACTAGTTACAAACAGGAACAAACCTGGACTCTTTACTCACCATTTTAATACTGCTGCCAACTATAACAGATTAAAATCTGTACACACAACATAGTGGAAAAAGTCCCAAAATGCAATCATTTCGGCAAAAGAAGGTACTGACTAAGGATTACTACAATTAACATTGCTACAATAAAAACAATGGCAAACAGGGATTTGGCACCACATTTACAAAGTAAAAGCATGCACTGTTAATACACTTTAGATGTTTCCCAACAAAAAAGGCCATGGAAGATGGAAAACAAGGGGCATCTTTTACAGAACTCCCTATGACTGAGACAAACAAGCAAGAACCAAAGTGGTCAATTTAGTAGATCTGTAGCAGCAAAGTCACTGTTTCTGTTTGGAATTTAGCAATTTGCATTTCTAATCAACAGCTGCCCTGGGTGTGTCTGTATCCAAGAAGCTAACTTTACATACTACATCAGCATTTACCTAGTAATTTGGTAATCAGCATAAACCAGGTTAACCTTAAACCATAAGCTTAAACAAAACTTAGCTAGAATCTTATTATAGAACTCTCCAATGTGATTACCATTTAGAAAACATAATGGTACTTTGAGCAGGAGAGTAACATAAATTTCATCAAAAAAAGCTATAATCATAGCCCCAGTAACCATAAAGAATTAATTATGGAAGTATTATGTTCTGACCATACCAAAGTTAGAAACAAAGAGTTCCTACTAAGAGGAATATTTTCAAGATGATCTGGCCACATCATGTGCATAGTTAAGGTTGTGTTTTAATAAAGATTCTTTTGCAAACAAAGAAATAAAATTTAGTCACATTATTCTCTTGGATGAAAAAAAAAAAAAACCTTTAGAAATGAACTACTGGTGGTTTGTTAAGAAGGAAAAAAAGAGTAAGCTACATATTAAAGTTCTGGAATGCAGCACCTCAACTTCACATCGGCCCTAAACATTTGAGATTATGAAATCCAAGTGATGTCTTGATGATCAAATCATACTTTACAGTTGCTCCAATTCCAATGTCTGACTTTAGCATCTCATGTCAATTAAGAGTTCCCTAATACAGAAGATTGTGCTATAGAGTGCTAAGATTCTGCATGCTGCTGCCATTCCCTGGTCCCGTTCATGCTTGTAGCTGCCCATTGAGACAGCAAAAGAAGTCTGGTCTCAACACTCCACACTGTAATAACTAGAAAAGAAGAACATTCTTAATTAGAAAAGCTTACAATGTCAAGAGACATCACTATAGCACTAGAACTAAACTGTCTCAAATTTTACCTTTTTTATTAACATCCAACCCTCTTCAGTAAAGTCCACATTCCTTTAAGTTGTTTTTAATGATGACATCTGTAACAGCATCAAAAACAAACTGCACATTCTTGGTGTCTGTGGCACAGGTGAAGTGGGTATAGATCTCCTTGGTATCTTTTCTTCTGTTCAGATCTTCAAACTGGCACTGAATATAAGCAGCTGCTTCTTCATATGTATTGGAACCTGAAGCAGACAACCAATATTCTCAGTTCAAATCCTAACAGCTGCCTGAATTCAACTAAGTCAGGCCATCACCTAAGGGAATATAACCCAAATGAATATAAGACAGATTTCTTTATTTCTGTAATTAGGTTATTCTACAATCATCAGACTTTTATTGAGAGCGGACTAAAACAAAATTATCACAAAAAAAGATCTTGGGAAACAAAACCTTTTCTTTTCCTCCTTTCATTGAGATTTTTCAGCTAAAAAACCTAGAATGCATAAAGGAGACTAGGGAAATAGGACACATTGTTAGAACACAATTGTTTAAAAGGTCAGAGAGCCCGTGCTCCTCCGACTGATCTTCAAACAATTCAAAACAGTTAATCATGCTTCTTTTCAAAATCATACCAGTTTTAAGGGGCCTTTAAAAAAGGGGGCCGGGGCTTAGCTTCAGAGCCTTTCAGCAATAACTTAATGAAAGGTAAACCAATACATGTAAAAGCGAAAGGGGCCTGAATTTACACACTTTAAAATGTATTTTTGTGCACTGAGGGGGACACTTGACAGGATGAGCACTGGGTGTTATTCTGTATGTTGGTAAATTGAACACCAATAAAAATTAATTTATTAAAAAAAATAAAAATAAATGTATTTTGTGACATATAAGTTACATCTCAATAAAGCTATTATTTTTTTATAAAGGGGGGAGAGACTCAAAAGTAAACCTTATTTTCAACATTTGTAATTAACACTCATTACCACATGCTTCCTACACCATCTCATCAACCTGTGAACCTTTAGAATAGCCCTAGAAATTGACTAGAACAGGAAACCTCAACAAAGAAAATACAAGTCTTCACTCCTGTAAACTAGAGGCTGTTTTCAACAAATAACATCTATGAAATTAAGTGACATTAAGCATGACAACAAATGCCAAAAACGAAGTGTTTAAAAAAAGACTAAACAAAGAAAAGCTTAAGAAAGAAAGGAGTGTTATTTTATTTATTTATTTATTTATTTATTTATTTATTTATTTATTTATTTATTTGAAAGGAGTGTTATTTAAACAGAATACTTAGAGAAACAAAGGAAGATAGGTTGGTAGGTGCTTGAAATAGGTTTCTTGAGATGAGCAGAACTTCTGTAAATTCAAGGAAAGACAGCACTGAGAAGCGAATTCTGTCTGGCAGGAACAGACAGTGATCCTTGGGCAATGAGGACTGTTAAGACTTCTTAAAAGAAAAATGAAGTCAATGGAAAACAGGCTTGGAAGGTCACCCCCTCTACTCCAAAAAAGGATATGACACTGAGGGCTCTTTGCTTTGTGGAAGATTCTCAGTCAGAACACTGGCAATCCTCTTACTTAAGTAAGATTTCTCTCCGCTTTAAAACTTGGCTACTTTCTATGAACTCCCCTAATTCTCCCCCTCCCTCCAGATTCTGGCCACACTGCCAACTTCCCTGAGAAAACAAGGGCCAGGGGCTTAAACTATACCTCGACTCTTGAGCCGACCACCTCACTTAGAAGTCACCTATATCCCCACATATTTCTACCTTTGGTCTTACAGTGGTCTTCCTTCCAGTTCAAAATTTAACTCCTCTACCAAGATTCTTTTAAGCTGAGGTGAAATTAATATAACATACAATTTTAACATGTACAATACAGTGGCATTTAGTGTATTCACAATGTTCTGCAACCACCACCTTTCTCTAGTTTCAAAACTTTTTCACCAACCCAGAAAAACACTCCATTGCCATTAAGTAATCATTCTTCATTCCTCTCATTCTATGCTCCCCCATCTCCCGCTAACCACCAACCAATCTGCTTTGTCTCTATGGATTTGCCTATTTGAGGTATATCATATAAAAGGAATCACATAAATGTGACCTTTTGTGTTTGGCTTCTTTTCACTTGGCATAACATTTATGAGGTTCATACAAGTAAGTGCATGTGTCAGTACTTTATTCCTTTTTATTATTCTATTGTATGGAATTCCACCTACTTACAAATCTTGCTCCATTAATTGCATCTACTTTTTACAACTTCTCTTGTTATAAAATCTTACCTCTAAGCATATGAACATTCTTTTCTTTCTTTCTTTTTTATTTATAGAGACAGAGACAAAGAGAGAGAGAGGCAGAGGGAGAAGCAGGCATCATACAGAGAGCCTGACGTGGGACTCGATCCGGGGTCTCCAGGATCACGCCCTGGGCTGCAGGCGGCACTAAACCGCTGCACCACGGGGGCTGCCCACATATGAACATTCTTAAATCTTTCCTTCTCCTGTAATCCAAGCTGCTCAAGAGTAGGCTACACCTGTCTTCATTTCTTTACTTCCTACTCAAAAACTCACTGCCCTGGCTCTGCTCTCACTGACACTGCTCTCAATAACACTCACCATCTCCTGGACCACTAACTTCAGAGGGCATTTTTCAATGTGTATCTTACTTTGTCTGCACTAAACATTACTGACCACACTTCGCTTCTTAGTTTCTCAGTTTTTGATAATTTGGCTCTCCTGGTTCTTCTCTTTGTATCCAATATAAACCTTTCTTTCTCTCCTGCCAATAGTCTGGTATTCTCATTCTATCCGTGGTCTTTTCTGTCCTCATTCTATATCATCACCCCATGTCATCTCATCCATTTCCATGTTGTAAGTTATACATGATCTCCAATCAATATATCTAACCTCCAATCTCTCATAAAAGCTCCAAGGCCACGTATGTATCTACCTATTAGATACCCCCATCTGAATTTTCCACAGATGCTTCAAAATCAAAATTCCTAAATATCAATTCAGATCATAGCACCAGCAGCCAATCAAGGCAGAATTCTACGAGTACTCTTCCCACTTCCTTACCCTAGTGACACTCTTCTACTTCATTACAGAAAGCCTTTACAGGGTCTGCTCAGCCAACATATGTTCTCCTTCCCTGAAAATACCCAACTCTGATCTAAAGGTTATAGTGGTGCAGCCCTGGCATTCATATTTGTATCCCTAACTTTGACTGAATGACTGGGCTAAGGATTTTTGCCTAAATTAATACTGGCCAGAATCTCTCTCCTAGGAATTTGAACTTGGGGCCAGCCACTATCAGTGTACCCTGGTCTTCTTCTTTTTTTTTTTTTTCTTTTTAAGATTTTATTTCCACATAATCTCTACACTCAATATGCAGGGCTCAAATTTACAACATGAGACCAAGAGTCGCATGCTCTACTGATTAAGCCAGCCAAGTGCCCCTAACCTGGTGTTTTGAATACAGGAGAGATACTGTGGCAGGGCCATCTTGTATCACATAAAGTGAGTAGCACAAAGGCTGGTAAACAGAGAGAAGAATAAAGATACACAGAGACAAGGAGAGAAAAAGAGACAGGGAAAAGGTGCTTCCAGAGTCCTTGACAGCTTTCTATTTCTTAGTTCTAAATGCATTCCTCTTATTTATTTATTTATTTATTTATTTATTTATTTATTTATTTATTTATTTATGATAGTCACAGAGAGAGAGAGAGAGAGAGAGAGAGAGAGAGAGAGAGAGAGAGAGGCAGAGACATAGGCAGAGGGAGAAGCAGGCTCCATGCACCGGGAGCCCGATGTGGGATTCGATCCCGGGCCTCCAGGATCGCGCCCTGGGCCAAAGGCAGGCCCCAAACCGCTGCACCACCTAGGGATCCCCTGCATTCCTCTTTTTTAAAGGAAGAATTCCTTTAAAAAATTTTTTTCATTTATTTGAGAGAGAGAACACACAGGAATAAGGGAGAGGGGCAGAGGGAGAAGCAGACTCCCCACTGAACAGGGAGCCCAAAATTGGGCTCAATCACAGAATCCTGGAATCAGGATCTGAGCTGAAGGCAGACACTTAACCAACTGAACTGCCCAGGTGCCGCCCTCTAAATGTTTTGTTTTGTTTTTAATATTTTATTTACTTATTCATGAGAGACACAGAGAGACAGAGAGGCAGAGACACAGGCAGAGGGAGAAGCAGGCTCCATGCAGGGAGCCCGATGTGGGACTCGATCCCAAGACTCCAGGATTACACCCTGGGCCGAAGGCAGGTGCTAAACCGCTGAGCCGCCCAGGCATCCCCCTCTAAATGTATTCTTTTTTTTTTTTTTCCTAAATGTATTCTTAAGATATGTCTGCATCCTTGCCCTTGGCTTCTAGGATATATCCCTGTATTTTCACCTAAAGTTTTTATTTGCATCCTAAGAGACTCCTTACTAATTCAACTCCCTACTATCTTTATTGCTATTTACTGCTTATCTTTCTAAAGCACAGTACCCCACTATGCTATATCATGTACCCCAATCAAAATCCTTCAATAGTGCCCCACCATCTCCACATGAGATACAAGCTGTAATGAGCTGTAATGATCCATGAGCATCTCTGCCTATCACTCTAATGACTCTTTCCCATCACATTAAACTCTGGCAATATCAAATTCTTTCTAGGTTCCAAAAACAAAAATTTTTTTAACAACTTTCTTTACTTTTATTATTAAATGCAGGGCCTGAACTCATGACCCTGAGATCAAGAACTGAAATCTGAAATCAAGAGTCGGATGGTCAACCAACTGAGCCACCCAGGCACCCCTCATGACATTTTTTTTTTACCTCCCTATTTTCATATACACTATTCCTTCTTCCTAAAAAGCTTTTAATTCTCTGTCTGCCTAGTGGTCTCTAATTCATCCTCTCATTATCTCACTCCAAATGTCATTTCCTCTAGAAAAAAGGAAATACAGCATATTTTATTTTTATCTTTCTCCATTTTCTTCAAAAAAATGAGGATAGAAATATAATATACATAGTAAACTCAATTATATCTGGAATAGCACTTTAGACTTAAAGGGTCTTAATCACATGCTTAATGCTAATATCACTACCAGTGAACACTCTCCATAAGGACACACATACGTTGTTCAAAATAAAAGACAAATTTAACAATGTCACTGAAGTGTTGATCTAAGATGTGTACCTCCAACAAAATCATTCAGGATCCCTTACCTGTGTATTCTGGATAACAGATAGTTAATGGACTCCTCTTTATTTTTTCCTCAAAAAGGTCTTTCTTGTTGAGGAAGAGAATGATTGAAGTGTCTGTAAACCATTTGTTGTTACAAATGCTGTCAAACAGTTTCATGCTTTCATGCATTCGGTTCTGGGGGGGGAAAATGATGTCAGTAGCAAAAGGTAAAAGTGCATGAACTAACTGTTCATGAAAAAAACAGACCAATAAGTTTTAGAAGAACTGAATGGCACTCACGGAAATAAGCTAGACACTGATAACACAAAAGCTAAGTCAATCCTCATTTTCGTAATCCCTGGAGGTTGGGAAGTGGGAAGACTGGCTAACAAGAGGCCTTAATCCTGCCCACATACTCAATGTGCTGTCCTACCTCTTAAAGAATAAGAAGGACATGGATCAATATTTTAAGTCTAATCTCACTGACAGGAAAAAAAATTAAGGAATCAAGATTTGGTTCAATGAGCAAATGAATGCACATCTTCCTAAGAATTATTTTCTACTTCCCGGCTACATTAAACAGAAGATCCACATACCATCTCCTCATCCTCAGCCAGAACAAGGTCATAATCACTGAGGGCCACACAGAAGATAATTGCTGTCACTCCCTCAAAACAGTGAATCCACTTTTTTCGTTCTGATCTTTGGCCACCTACATCAAACATCCTGAGTAAAGGGAAAGAATGCACAAATTCAGCAAGGTCACAAATACACCTCTCCCTAAACTGAAGTGGTTAGAGAACTTCCCACCAATGTATATTCAAAACTCCATTTATAATAGAAAAGACAAACAAGGAGCAGATAAAATGCAGTCAAACTAATACTGTGATTAAAAGTAAAAGAGAACAACATGAGAAAATAAAATCTAGGAACAATCAAAATCCTCATTTTAGGTAACTAGTTGCACTTCCTTTAAGTTTGTTATCAGGAGTGCCAAAAGTCAGCAGAAAAGGCACTGAAATGGACTAAAGGAAGGAGGGGGAAAAGGGACAGGAAAAATAAAGAGCTAAATAATACAACTTAAGATAATAGTAACACATTAATATTTATTGTTTACCATGGTACCAAACATGATCCTAAACATCTTAAGTACACTAACTCCTTTGACCCTCACAACACTGCTGCTAGTACTATTGTTTCCAGTGCACAGATGAAGAAATTGAGGCATAGGTATGGTAAATAACTGGGTCTAGGGCACACTACTAGCAAATGGGGACTGGGACTCTGAACCCAGGCACTCTAACTGCAGCACCCAGGCTCTTAGCCGTAACACCATTCGACTCCCCAAAATGGTTTACCTCTTTAGTCAAAGAGAACAATAAAAAATAGAAATCTCCAACTTGCATTCTGCTTCCAGAAAGTTTGTTTTCCTTACTTTTTAACTTTCTTTTTTTTTTAACTGAGGTATGGCTGAGGTATGTTTTCCTTACTTTAAGGAAAAAATATTTCAGAGATTAATTACGGGGGAAAGTAAACTGTTTTTCAGGGTAGGACTCTTTAGAGCCCAAGATCTAGAAACAAAACGTAACCACTATTTCCCAACTCTATGTCCTAGTTGAATCTAATTAATAATAACAAAGCCTCAGCTGTTCACAGATTTTATGTTCCACTCCTGATTAGTTTCAGTCCACCACTCCCTTCTGGGGGGCTTAGCACTTCTTGCACTTCTGTCAACAGTGTCCTCATCTACCTCCTACAGTAAGAGGAACACCTGCAGTGCTCTACCTCTAGCTAGTACCAGCATCTGAGGAGGTATGTATACAAATGATTAGATGCTCTGAAGATAGGTGTTTAATGACAAGAACAAAATTTTAAAAGGTAAACTTTGCCAAGCTGGTTTAGTATGCCAGATCTAAAGTGACTCAATTGTCTATTTCCAAAGACTTTTCCCCTGAAGATCAAGAGAAATAAGACATAACAACTGAGTTTACAACCCAGTCTTTTCTTGTGGTTGATCTAGCATAGGTTTTTTTCAGCCTTTGGACATGACACTTGGAATGATGCAATCACAAGTTGGCTTTAATACAAGATCATATAATAGGTTTTAGGAAAGCAAACATCACATATGCCACTACAGAAATCTTTCAAGGGGAGACACACGCTGGTACAGCAATAATTTCAGTTTATCCCTCTGTTGTCTTCTACAAAGTCCATAAAAGTAGCAGAATACTGTGACGTCCCAAGGGTGGGCTTTTAGCACATATTAACATTTACAATATAATTCACTAACAGATCAACATGTTATAAACATTACCTCATAACTGAGAGGCAAGTAAGCAATTACACAATGCCTTGCATATAGCAGATGCTCAATAAGTGTTTGAATAAATGGATAGTGGTTTTGCCTAGAGAGAAGAGGAAAAGGAAGAAGTGATAGTACTTCATAACAAGATCTCTATGCCAACAATAAAGTGGGTGTGGCATCTTAACTAGAGCTGGCTACTGATTCTGACACAAGAAGACCAACAGGATTTACCCAACTAAAGATCAACCCATGTCAACATCAACAAGAACGTTTCCCACACTAAATAAAGTTCACCACATTTAATTATAAATGGATTACTGATCTTATAGTACACAAAAAGACATCTCATTCTTATAGGTTGCACAGGTGATAAATTTATATGGCCTTTGCTACTCTAGTTAAATATCAGTCCTAAAAAAAAATAAGCAGCTCTTCTATTCTACTAATATTCAGCTGAACTATTTTCCTGCACCATGTTTCAGATCTGTTTTGGTTTATTAAGATTTCAAGACCTCAAGTGGTATCTAGTAATACCTGAACTCTGTGTAGATTTCACAAATCCTGTGAAGTAACTGTTTTCAGAGAGAACATGGAGAAGCTCTCAGCTAGAAATTACAGTTGTGTGCAAAAGTGATGATTATCACAGACTACATACAAGCATAATGAGGTAGCTGGAACAAACATCGTATATTGAAGAGAAGTTTATTCCTAATCTTAAAGGTCACAAAAGCAGAAAACGGGAACCAAAAAGACAGTTATTTACAAAAGACCATTAACACAGAGACAAGATGAAGCCTATTTTAGAAAGACTAATGCTAACGAGAAAGTCCTTTGTATTCATGTACTAGAATTTTCTCTCTCTAAAACCACTTTTTATGTTATCATACTTTACCAAAATACCTCTATGTCTGTATCAATTTTCCATTCATACTACATTAAGAACTTAGTTGTACATGACATTATGCACAAATCAGTCCAAGAGCCATGACAATATTAGCTCCATTCCATTAAACTTAAAGGGAAATGTGCTTCGGTAAGGAAGGATCAACACTGGTGAGTAAAGCATTTCTATTTTAATATCAAAATGGCAGAACAAAGCCACATCACTAAGTATCTATACTTAGTATTATTGTTACCCCTTCTAAACAACAAACATTCAATACCTGTTTTGATGATTCCAACAAAAAAGCAGCTGAAAAGACTAAAATTAAAAATAAAATAAATTGATAACCATGTGATTACTTTTATTGATATTTACAACCTAATTTTGAATTTAAATTTCTCAAATAGACAAAGGTATTTGATGCTATTTGGAGAAAGAAGAAAGGTTTGGGCCCTCATTCAGTTAAAATTCAAATACTGGCTGATGAATATGATGGTTGGTTAGTTGGTTGTTTTGATGATAGGTTTTTAAAGCAAAGAATATGGCCTGGAGAAATTTTACCCTGATTAAAGATACAAACTAAAGGAAAGATATTTGTAATTCGCACATCTAGCAAAATAATGACTTACTTGAAGTATAGGTCTTTGAAGGTGAAATGAGTTTCCACAATGCCTGTGGTCTTCACTCTTGTCCGCAAGACATCTTGCTGAGTTGGAATGTAGTTGGTTTGGGATATCCTATCCAAATCATTTAGGTAACTAAATAAAACACACATTTATTTTTACTTGGTGAAGCTAACCATGTACACACCAAATCAACAACCTAAACTAGTTCCTTGCCAAAAGTAAATTCTGAACCTGTCACTAAAGTGGCAGAACAAGGGATCCCTGGGTGGCTCGGCGGTTTGGCGCAGCCTTCAACTCAGGGCATGATCCTGGAGATCTGGGATCGAGTCCCATGTCAGGCTCCCTGCATGGAGCCTGCTTCTCCCTCTGCCTGTGTCTCTGCCTCTCTCTCTCTCTCCCTCTCTCTGTCTCTCATGAATAAATAAATAAATAAAATCTTTAAAAAAAAATACAAAATAAAAAATAAAGTGGCAGAACAAAATCAGAGCTTCGGTATCACAGAAATGATGAGGAAAAAAAATGTGAATCTAGCATAGGACAATTAATGTAGGTTTTATAAATGCCACACAAAGAGGGTTTTAATTCTACCACAATTAAGCTGTGAAGGCCAATTAAAAGGAAACAAATATGGAAATGTCATTCTTATTAAAAAAGATTTCTGGGGTGCCTGACTGGTTCAGTCAGTAGAGCATGTGACTCTTGATCTCAGGGTTTTAAGTTCAAGCCCCAATGTTGGGTGAAAAGATTACTTAAAAATAAAAAAAATTTGGAAAAAAAAAATCGAGAAAAACCAAAACAAAAGCCCTCAGACATTTAAAGTTAATAGGTCATTTGTATGTTCTGACATTTGATGGGACATTAGAGAATGGTGTTTGAATTACTAAAATTAAAATGAGAACTATGTTCAATAAGAATATTTTCTGGTTTTATTCAGGAAAAAAAAAAGTTGTGGGTTTTTTAAAATCTAAGTCAAAAACATTGTAAATACTTCCAAGAAATTTATTCAGAAAATTAATTAAAAGATGGCTTCAAAGCTAAGTTAATTTTTTTTTAAAGCTAAGTTAAATTTTTGGTAATTTCAGATTCCTAAAGAGTTTTTGGCTAGAAAACTAAAGAACAGGTAGTACTATTATAAGTGAATCATTAATGAGCCTCTATAAAACTAAGTAGTATCATCAATGTTAAGGAATCAGGCAAGTCTCAATCAAATATTATGGAAAAAAATTTATTTATTTTTATATTTTTATTTTTTAAAAGATTTTATTTATTCATTCATGAGAGACAGGGGGCGGGGGGAAGAGACACTGGCAGAGAGAGGGAGAAGCAGGCTCCATGCTGGGAGCCCCATGTGGGACTTGATCCCGGAACTCCAGGATCATGCCCTGGGCCGAAGGCAGGCACCAAACCGCTGAGCCACCCAGGGATCCCAGAAAAAAAAAATTTATAAATCGCATGTTCTCTGGTGTAGTTGAAGGATTTAGAGCTTAATGTATGTATGATAAAAAATAATGACAATCTAGCTTTCATGACTACTGGGAGAATTATTGAAACTACCAACATATGCAACTAAAAAATATTAAAAGGTGGGCAAGATTAGAAATGACAAATACCCACCATTTCTTCAACATGGATGGAACTGGAGGGTATTATGCTGAGTGAAATAATTCAATCAGAGAAGGACAAACATTATATGGTCCCATTCATTTGGGGAATATAAAAAATAGTGAAAGGGAATAAAAGGGAAAGGAGAGAAAATGAGTGAAAATATCAGTGAGGATGACAGAACATGAGAGACTCCTAACTCTGGGAAATGAACAAGAGGTGGTGGAAAGGTAGGTGGGGGGGGGGTTGGGGTGACTGGGTGACGGGCACTGAGGGGGGCACTTGCCGGGATGAGCACTGGGTGATAAGCTGTATGTTGGCAAATTGAACTCCAATTAAAAAAAAAAAAAAGAAAAGAAAAACGAAGAAACAAAAACAAAAAAAAAAGGTGGGCAAGAATCCTGAAATTTTTCTAAGGTTAAGTTTTCATTTCAAGATAACTAAGTTTTTCAAATATAATTTAACTTCTTCCTACAACAACTTAAATAAGAATGAAAGATAGGAAAATGTGAATATTGGAGAAAATACCTTAATGCTTAAAAGTGCCTCCAATTAGAACAGAGATACAGGTACAAAGAACTCACCAAGTTCCCAAAAGGCACATTAAAAACCTACATTCAGAATATAGATCTTATATATACACATGTTGTATAAGAGGCAAAATCAGATAGCACATCAAAGCCTCACACAAGTATTAATTACACATTCTCTCAAACTATTTAACACTTAACAGAATTCCCTTGACAAATAGATGCTTTGACTTCTTACTAAGACTCAACATTCTCTGTACAAAGTCTACTATTGTGATCTGGCCAAAGATTTATTAGTGGTGACTAGTACCAGAGAAATCCATAGTGCAGGCCAGCCACAGAGTTGGATGCATAAAAAGGGATATCACATTTCTAATTTCCCTCACTAGCTGGCAATTAATGCAAAGTTCTTATGCAGAAGGAACTGCATTGGAAGAGATCCAGGATCCAGCTGCAAAAGATTTCTCTCCTCTTTCACTTACTTATTATAAACTACCATGGAGCTACTTTTCATGGTACCAATTCTCCCATTTACATTCCAAGAGGCAATGTTGTTCTCCAAGTCATACAAAATGACGAAGGGCTTGTAATTACCCTAACCTGAAATCATGCAACAGACTTCTAAAAGTGTCTGTTACTTAAGGTTTTGTCAAGGACAGACCCTGAACTTTCTTAGTGTCACCAAATTATTTTCTATTATGGAAAAATTACTCACTATGAAGCAGAATCATTGAGCTGATACTCCCTGGATCTGCTGAAACAAGCTTGCACGCCACCGTCTCGCCATAACCGTTTAATCACTCCTGCTAGTTCTAGAGTCATGACTCCTTCTTCGGCACTGCCAGCCAAAACAAATAATTGCCGGGCATCATCCTGAAGAAAGAAGTTAAGAGAGAGAATGCTTCTCCGCTTCTTAAAGAACTTGACACGCACATTATATGTTTCATTATTTTAAGAGAAGTATTGAAGAGATCTTTCCAGGCAGGGCTGTCTGAGAGAATTTACAATGAAGTCACTCCCCCTACTCATTCCACTGTAGTTAGAAGTGCAGAGCTGAGCTGAGGAATGATTTCAGTCCCCCCACCACATACCACTATCTCCTAAAAAGATCTCTTCTGAGTGGCTTACATATCTCCACCCTTACTCATAGCTATTTGACAGAAAAAACCTGGTCTGTGATATAAACACATGTAACACATTACCATTTTGTTAACAAACCTACAATAAAAATAGAAACAAAAAAACTAGCATGTAAGAGGTAAAGTCTAAACACTTCAGAGCGAGTAAAACATTAATGGAGTTTAAGGAAAGTGTTCTCTTCTTCCTCCCTCAGCTCAGACAGAGGAACAGGAAGAGGAGACTGAATTATTTAAGAAGTCTAGAAGCCTAGGGGGGAAAATAAATCCCTGGGGGCAAAATTCAGTTTGTAGATTCCCCAAGAATAATAATCCTCCAAATAAGAGAGGGGGAAAAAAGAGCAAGAGGAAAAGAAAGTTACAAAGAGATTTGATCAAAACTCATGAGTCAAAAAGCTTTATAAGTGGCTACCGTTTTTAAACCTAAAACATGAGCTGTAAAGAAGACAGAAAAGGGCTATGAGAACTCTGATTATTTTGCTTTATTCTACCTACCCTTACTTGTCAAATAGTTTAAGAACAAACCCAGGTCTCAATCTTTAAAAACAAGAAAAAAGAGAAAGGAACAGAACAGAACCTGGCGCCTGGCTGGCTCATTCAGAGCATGCGGCTTCTGATCTCAGGGTTGTGAGTTTCAGCCCAACACTGGGGATAGAGATTACTAAAATAAATAAATAAAATCTTTAAAAAACCCAATATACTGAAATCTCATGGGATGCTTTCCCCACCTCAAATCTCATATTTATCTGCTTCAGGAGAGTTCCAAATAACTATTAAGATGCAGATACTATGGGATCCCTGGGTGGCGCAGAGGTTTAGCGCCTGCCTTTGGCCCAGGGCGCGATCCTGGAGACCCGGGATCGAATCCCACGTCGGGCTCCTGGTGCATGAGCTTCTCCCTCTGCCTATGTCTCTGCCTCTCTCTCTCTCTCTCTCTCTCTCTCTCTCTCTCTCTCTCTGTGACTATCATAAATAAATTAAAAAAAATTAAAAAAAAAAAGATGCAGATACTAAAAAAAATACCCATACTTACTGGGTAAAGGAAAAGTAAAGAGGGAAAAGGAGCAATTGGTTGTATCGTAAGTTGTCATTAGGACAATAAACTAGCAAGCAAAAAGCATTTCAGACCAGAGGTGAAATCACAACCCAAAACTCCTAAGACTTGTGTGTTTCCAAAACTCATGCACCCAAAAGTCATGCAAAAAACAAGATTAACCATTGTGAACTCCAGTTAATGCTGTCAAACTCAAGATCTTCAGCCAAGTAATAGCCCTCCTCTAGAAGTTGCCTTTCTTAATAATAACACTTTATGCCCATCCTTCTCTGAAACTTCATCTAACATCTATATTCCCCTCTTCTCTTTTCAAAGATAAAAATTTTAAATAAAGGAACAAATGACAGAGGAAAGTTGAAAAATTACACAAATTGGCAAACATACTCAATATTGAACATGTCCTTCTATGTCTAATGTTTTAACATGTGAAGACTTTACAGTCCATTCTGAAATTTGAACTATGCTCATACAGCTATTCAAAACCTCAATAAGCATTACTTTTTTACTAGTGCAATTCTAATTATAAAAACTTTAAAAGAGAGAGAGCTATTGCTACATATTTCTGCTGTCCTGCCTTTGTAAGCACAATTTTGAGCAGAATCACTTTCCCCTTACCACTTACATCTCCTCCACTGACCTACTCTTGCTTCTCCACAATAAACCCTCTTTTTAGGCCTTTAAGGAGGCCCCTCTTTACAATGAACTTCAAACCTCCACCTTTAAGCAGATATGAAAAAGCAACCTACCCCTCACCTGGCTCTATTCTTGTCCATTCACTCTCTAAACAGCCTAAGAAACTAGATAAAGAGAAACTTCAAAAAATTACATAGGGTTGCAGATTAGGATGGGTGGATGCTGGAAAGCTAGGTGATTCAGGATGCCTAACAGGAATGAAGGAGAAGTTGACCACATCTGGTGACATAGGAGTATTAGGACCCAAAGAGGAATGACACTCATTTGATAAAGGGAAGGAATGAAAGGAGAACAGATGCTGTGGTCTGAATGTTTGTGTCCTTCCAAAATTCATATGTTAAATTCCAATGCCCAAAGTCATAGTATTAGGAGATGGGGCTTTGGGGAAGTACAACTACAGTCATGAGGGTGGAGGTCCCATGAATGGAATTAGTGCTCTGATAAAAGGGACTCCAGAGAGCTCCTTTCTCCTTCTGCCATGTGAAGACACAGTGAGAAGTCTGCAACTGAAGAGGACCCTCACCAGACCTCCCATCTGACCTCAGACTTCCTGCCTCCCGAAGTGTGCGCAATAAATGACTGTTGTTGATAAGCTACTAAGTCTGTGGTGTTTTGTTACACAGGACAAAGACAGAAAATGTCAACTGTATTGGTGACAAAGTAGTGTGAGGACCCAAACATTAATAACAACCAATTTGACAATGGAAAGAAAAGAAGGGAGAGGTTCATCAAGAGATATAAAAGAGGACAGTGAAAAATTAAAAAGGAAGGAATGAAGAGAAGACATAAAGAACTGAGATGGAGAAAAAGCCAACAAAGTGAGGGAAAGGACTAAATACAGTAGCATCGACCAGTTATACCGGATCTGGCAAACAAAACAGACACGTTGAGCTGGGTGACAGGAAGGGATAAGAAAAGGGAAGAAAATAATACTGCGGTGGGTGGGGGGGAGTGGCCAGAGGGAAGAAAAGAAAAGCAGGAGGCAGAGAAGGGACAGAAAGATGTAAGACAAAAATGCATTGTTCATTCTTACATTCACAATCCCATTTTCCCCTCAGATGCTTAGAAAAAGTCTCAGGATGTTGTGCTATGACATCTTTTGTTACAAAAACATAAAAGTCGTGCCTCACATATTTCCTTGTCCCCTCTTCTGCTACTCTTCTTTCCAGTCATTTTAAAAACTTAGCCCAGCTCCTCTTCCCTTAGGTCCACTTCTAGTAACCCTAATCGAATACCAACCAATTACAACTATCCTTTAGTGATTTTTTCCCATCAACAATTTCTCCACTTATTTACTGAATATTAATTTGCATTTATAATAGCTTGTTAATGGATAAATCAAGAGCAGCTAAGAGTTCCTAAGCTATTTCACGGACACACAGGCTTTGCCTTTCCAGGCAGCCTCCCCAAGTCACCCCCTTTTGTTGTCTACAGTACTCTGAACACAGCTGATGACTCCTTTAGTTCTAGGAAATCATTCTTAGGATCAGCGTTCTCTCAGTGCAACTAGATATAAAAGATCTCCTGCCTTCATTTTGGCCCTCTTCCCATTGCAGCAAACGTCCTAATTCACAAATGAGAACTTCATGGTGCATCACGTATTATGATTCATCAACACAACTTTTGAGTATCTGACATGTGCAAGAATTGTCCTAGGACATGCAATAATCCAATTGTTTACGTTACAATCCAACATAGTACAGGGATATAGTATTTTTGAATACCTAAAAATTGTACCTAAAATTTTGACTTAGCATTCATGTCCTTCTCAAGTCTGATATTTGCCTTTTATCTTTACGCCACAGAAAGTAGATCTACCTCTTTTAGATTATTTTAATTTACTAGTATTTACTACTTTAAAATAAAACAGTGCTATCAAGAAGCAAATAAAAAAGAGCTGTCACAGAAACCTACAGTATATCCACACAATTACATTTCTTCAGTTCTTCTTTCTGGTGGTAATCTAGTATCTCCTAAAGCAGATTGCTAATACTTTTCAAATGGGCACACAGTACTTTGCTCCATCTTATCTTGTTGCTTAAATTCATTTCCCTAAAACACGAAGAAAATTTCCTTAACTGAATCTACTAAAAGAAAGCAAGTGAAGAGGAAATGAGAAACACTTACTGCTCTGGCAGCTTCCCCAAAGTCAATCTTTAGCCGTCCCATGGCTCTTATGATCGCAATGATGGACTGTATAGTATTGCTGTAGACAACTACTTTATATTGTTTACATTCTTCCTCTGAATAGCCATCCTCATGAATGATTCTTTAAAAAGAAAACCACAAATCATTACCACAGACCTAAAAAGAAAAAGATACTATGGGCTTTTGTGCATTATGAGGAACTGTAGTTTTACAAAAGGCCATGTTCCAACTTACTTCATCTGTTTCACAATGGTGCTTTTACCAGATTCTCCAGCACCTGAAAAAAAAGAAAATCAGACTTTGAATTCACCTGTAATCAAACACAAAGTATGAAATCAATGTGAGTGCTAATTTTAGATTAATGGAAACCAAGGTCCCAGGGAAAACCTAAGTGAGGCTATCCAGCAAGAAAAATTACTAAGCTTTGTTATCAGAGTTTTTCACTTTAGCATAATTCAGCGACCAAATAGAATTCCCTAAAAGTAGCCCAGAAGCTACTTGATATCATTTGTGTCAAGCAGGCATACTTAAGGAGATATGGCAACATAAACACCTCTAGGAACTCATCCTCTACATGGAATACCATGATACAGAAACTGAACATAGGCAAAAATGAAATTATTTGTTCCTGGACTATTTGCTTTTATTAATTCCTCTGTCAGTATCTTGTGGATCTGAGGAAATATTCTAAGAGTGATCGATCCATCCTCTCAACCATGTGACTAGAATTCAAAATAGAAGCAGAGGAGGCGTCGTCCCCACTTTTTAACTATATATGCTCTCAGGACCACATTTCCCTTGTCTGTCAACTGGAATCACTTTAGTGGTCACCCATGTCAGATCAGCCCTCTCAGAATTCCTTAACATTTCACCGGCATTTCCTTAGTCAATTCCTTCTCCCACATTCCAAGATGCCTATTTCACACCATTTCCTTTCTCTCTCAAACCTTACAAACTCCTTCCCACTTCTGACTTTCACCTGATCATCTTGCCTCTTTTATTGGAAAAATTAAAGCACTCAAAAAATGATCTCATTTTCCCATAACCAAATCCACCAATCTAACTGTACTCCCACTAATATTCTCTACCTTCATCAATGGGTGAAGGGTTCCTGCCAGCATCTAAGACTAATCTTTTCAATTGTGTCCTAAACCCCCTGATTTTACCTATTCAAGGTCTTGGCTACTGCCACTATCCATGTCACTCACATATGAAGTTTTCTCTTCCCACTGGGGCATTCTCATCAGTATACAAACCTGTTGCACTTTTTTCCATTTTAAATCAACATATACTCCTACTCCAACCTTTCCTTGACTCCACACATATTCCTCTGCCACTCTAATTTCTCTCTTCTTCCATGTAGAAAAACCCCTCTAGGTTGTTGATACTCATATTCTCCAGTTCTGTACCTCCAATTCTTCTCCTTAACCCACTCTTATCCACCACTCTAACTGAAACCACTTCTCATGTTTTCCAGCAACTTCCAATTTAACAAGCCACTGATCAATTCTAGGTCTTTGAGCAGAAACGATCCAATGATGACTTCTCCCTTTGAAATACTTTCTTCACTAGGCAGGCTTCCAGACCCCACATCCTCCTGGTTTGACCCCTATGCTCACTCCTCAATCTCCTCCCTCCTGTCTCTAAGCCTTAAGGTTTGTACAATTTGAGTACTCCTTCCCTGGGCCCTTTTCTCCACCTACATTCATTCCCTAGGTCATCTCATCTAATCTCCTGGTCTTAAACACTATTCATAAACTGATAGTAATAGTTAATATCTAATGTGTACTGTGTGCCAGATGCTGTTCTAAGCACTTTGCTTTTATTAATTCATTTAATCCTCACAATAACCCAGTGAGGCAGACACTTATTACCTCCATTTTATAGATGAGGTAAATGAAACAGAGAGATGCCAAGTTAACTTGTCCACAATTAGTAACTGGCAAAGCTGAAATCTGCATTCACAGTTTGGCTCCAAAGTTGTTATATACTGCCTGTATGCAAATGATTTCCAAATTTGTATCTCTAACTTTGGCTCCAGAGTCATGCATCTAAACCACCTACCTGATAACTCTCTTTAGATTTCTAACAGTCATCTCAAACTTAAAATGCCCAAAAGTGAGTTACTGTTTCCCCACTGTAAGGGTGGGGAAAACAAAACCTGCTCCACCCTGTTTTCTCATCTCAGTAAATACCAGCACTCACCTAGCTGCTTAGGCTAAAAATGGCAGGTCACATGTAAAACAGAATGTGGGTGCCAGTACCAATATATACATCAAATATTAGTAAAACTTAATTTTTAAAAAATAAGTATAAATGTAGTTGTAACAGTTTCTTCCTGGATCATCATGAACACACTAAAAACCATAAGCCTAGATTACTATGAAAGCTTCCTGAATGGTCCACTGCTTGAGATCTTGCCAGTTTTCCACTAATAGCTGGACTGAATTTTGTGAGATGTAAATCAAATTATGTCACAACTCTGCCCCCAAGTTTGGACTACATAGGTCCACTTATACATGATTATTATTTTTTTTATGATAGTCAGAGAGAGAGAGAGAGAGAGAGAGAGAGAGAGAGAGAGAGAGAGGCAGAGACACAGGCAGAGGGAGAAGCAGGCTCCATGCACCAGGAGCCCGATGTGGGATTCGATCCCAGGTCTCCAGGATCGTGCCCTGGGCCAAAGGCAGGCGCTAAACCTCTGTGCCACCCAGGGATCCCCTATACATGATTATTAAAAAAAAAAAAATACAGTACAGTAATATTTTTTCATAAAGAGTTTCTTTTCTCTAGCTTACTTAACTGAAAGAATAGAGTATATAATATATATGGCAAAGTATGTGCTAAGTGACTATGTATTTTATCAGTAAGACTTCCAATCAACAGTAGGCTATTAATAGTAAATAGGTTATTAGTAGTTAAATTTTGGGAGGAGTCAAAAAGTTATATGTGGATTTTCAAGTATGTGGGGTGGGAGGGGGTGCTGGCACCCTTAACTCTATACTGTATGTCAACTGTATACTCAAAATAAAAATCCATGGGCAATAAAGGTCAAACATACTCTGGCCCCTGCTGCTTACCGCTTCCTACCACTTCACCCTCAATTCCTATCATTCTCCACTTCATTCTCTCCACTCTTGTCAGACCAGCTTTCTTGCTTTTTCTTCCAACATATCAAACTGGTTCTCAATGAGCTAGATCCTGACTCATGCTCTTTGCCATTTACTATTCCTTCTGCCTGGAGTAAGTTTTTACAAAATTTTCTTATTCCCTTAGAACAGCCTTCCCTAACTAATCTATCCCATCTTATTCTCTCTCCTCACTCTAGGTTATATTTTCACAAAGCACTTATCACTTCTTCACATTACAGATTTGTTCATTTCCTATCTCACTAAAATATAAACCCCATAAAGGATTATTCATCCCTGTATTCCCAGGGCCTAAAACTGGGCGTGTCATAAATTAGCTAGGCAAATAAATACTGTTGAACAGATACATTACTAATGCTTAGTTTAGCATGATCCCTTACTAAATATTTCTCAACTCTATCAACCAAAGCTGTTAGTTAAAATTCAAATAATTTAAAAATCCAGACAACTACATTTTTACACACTCAAAAAGGACATTTCTATTTGACTTTATCTCTGCACTTATCATCTAATGATAATCAGGAGTAGCACTAAATATTTACATAACACAGAAGGAACTTTTAATGATATTGTTTCTCCAGGGGAGCCTGCGTAGTTCACCAGTTAGCTGAGTGGCCGACTCTTAATTTTAGCTCAAGTTCATGATCTCAGGGTCCTGGGACTGAGCCCTGCATCCCGTCAGGCTCTGTGCTCAGCAAGGAGTCTGCTTGAGGATTCTCTCCCTCTTCCTCTACCCCATCCTGCCACTGTCCCCCCAATCCTCTCACTTGCCTGCCTGTCTGCCTGCTTTCTCTCAAATAAATCTTCAAAACAAGAAGTGCTTTCTCCCATGCATATCTACAAAAAAAAAAACTTTTTTTATTCTGAAGAAAAGAATACAGAAATATAATACTAGTTTAAGTACTAGTTTAAAACAGAATTCCCAGATGATTCCATGTTAGCACCAGCTACTAAATTAACCAGGAAAAGCAGAGATTAATGAAGTAATGTGCACCATTCTTCTACATATTGCAAACAGGATTTCTACCACTTACATTGGACTAAATGAAATAATCAACGAGTCCATTATCCTCAGAATCAATTTCTACTCATCTCATCAAGTTCCATCCTATGAAGGTGATTTCAAAGGAGTATGTTGCCCTGTGTCTCTCAAGTTTTTTCAAGGTTCCCTGATGTCAGTCTGTCCTTCTCTTTATTTTCAACTACATCTATTTACCCAAGGTTTTACTAAGCATCCAGTTCCTCTCCTTACAAGCACCTCTTACGGACTACAGAACTAAATACAAATATAAGATTTATCTTATTAAGTGTTCCAGGGCATTGTACAGAAATAAAGAATGAAAAAAAGAAAAAAGAAATAAAGAATTGGAAAAAAAAAAAAACTACTTTATACCAAAAGTCTTTGACCCATTCAGCTTCCAGATCAGAAGAAAAGTGCCACCATCTTACCTTTCTTCCAAGTACGAAATCTAAGAATCATCTGGAACCCACTCACTCTTCTCTCCTTACATTAAGCTGTAACAAAATCTTTCTTCTTATTCTTTTCTCAAATTAATCCTTTCTACTCCTCAGATGGCTGATGTTGTGCCTACTGTATGTTACTGCTGTAATTTTCTCAACTTACAGCTCAAAGCCCCTCTTCTTTCTTATCATTTCTAAGTGGCACTAATAATTCTCTACCATTTTCTATAACCTTTTCTTATTAGGTCTGAATTCTTCATTTTTACTTCAATCCTATGTCTCATCTCCCACCCCCGATATATGCGATGTTTGGAACTTCCTAGTTTTGTTTATATCTTCTAACCTATCTTCCTTCAAAATTCATCACAAATTTAAGGAGAGATTCATTTGTCCATCTTCAATCTACCAGGGTAATAATACTAAGGAAACAAAGAATGTAATGGATATAAAGGAATTGCAAAGAAACAACCTATGGTTAGGAGAGGAAGAAACTGAAGGTGACTCTAGGCAGGAGGGAAGGAAATGGGTAGGGGATAAGATTTTGAGAGGAAAAAAGTCTGAAAGGTCCCAACAACAGGAGGGAATGGAATCATCCCTAAAACAATATACATCTAAAGGATGTCTTATATAAAGAGGAAGAAAGGACTAAAGGGAAGCCACAGAGATT